GTCTCCGTAGTGGGAGGAGGAGTCTCTGTGTCGGTCTCACACGGAGTAGTCTCGGGCGGGGGAGTCTCTGTGGTAGGGGGCGGAGTTTCTGTATCGGTTTCACATGGAGTAGTCTCCGGTGGAGGAGTCTCTGTATCAGTCTCACAAGGAGTGGATTCGGGAGGAGTCCAGGTAGGGTGAGGAGGCTTTGTCCAGGTCCAGGTAGGGTGAGGGGGCTTCGTCCAAGTGGGATGAGGAGGCTTAGTCTCCGTATCAGTCTCACATGGGGTGGAAGTGGGAGGAGGCCAATGGCCATGGTGGTCATCATCGTCGTCGTCGTCGTCGTGACCACCGTGACCCCCATGCCCACCATGGTCACCGTCACCATGGTCACCACCGTGACCCCATCCGAGCTCAGTTTCGGCATCATCAGACCCAGGGAATCCAATGCCACGCTCAGCCTGGGCTATGGCAGGCGCTGCAAGGGCACCCGTCACAACACCAAGGGTGGTGGCCAGCAGCAAGGTAGGGTTGACCCTCATGATGAGACCTGTTTGAACGAGAAGAAGTCAAGAGCTTGCAGTACTTATTATCCAAGTAGGATATGAACGAAGTTAAGTAGTAACGGCAGTGAACCAAGTAAACAGGAGAAACGACCGTGGGTTGCAGAGGCTCTTGCTGGGCAACTGGAAAGCTCGCACAAACAACGGGGTCACAGAAGTTAGGGCAGACATGACGCTCTTTATCATTTCGCCCAGGGCTGGAGGGAAAGAATGCCATCAGCCCCCTTCACTGGTCAACAAATGGCCAACTCGCTATCATCATGACAATAGCAGCCTTCCCTGGCAGGGCCTTCTCCGAGGCAACACCCTTTTGGAAGATGGTAAGCGACTTCAGCATGAAGTGGATCCGAAAAGCACAGCGAGTGGTCTGTTCTCAGCTTTAGTGCAAAGCTAGAGTCGGACAGTGCATTGGCGGCTGGGCCTGATAGATCAAGTTCCAGCCAGTGCCTGGTTAGGTTTCGATACGTGGTCAGGGAAACAATCAGAACCCTGGAAACTGGGGAGAGACCAGGCGGAGGCACGTGGTCTGGGGTGGCCAGATTGCGATTCATGAGCAAAGCACACTCCCAGGTTACAGGTATGTCGAGATGTGTGCTCACTGAGACGGCAGGTACTGATCTACTCGGGAGAGTATCGTGGCCAAATCAAGGCACCTGCTCATCGAGAACGTCACTTGCAGCGGGTCCATTGTAAACTCGACAATCATGATCTCTGTCCATCAATCATGGCTCCATGAGGGCTACCCTGGCGGTGCAGTGTCACATTGGGCTCCAGCATTGTGCCACCAGGAATCGGGCCATGGCACGGGGAACCCAGAACTCTGAGTTCTCGACCGTTGGAAATCATCTAAAATAGATTAAAGTCAGACATTCGGCTGGGAAGTTGCGGAATTGGACGAGGATGGAAAGATGAAGGAGTGAAAACCGTGGACCGAGAAATTGCTTGCGCAGAAGCGGCTAGACCAAAACAGCGGGGTTGGCAGCCTCCAAGACATCTCATCTCCGCCGCCAAATCACCTCCCCTCGACGGCGATAAGACCCTTTCCATGCTGTCAGGATGAAGTCACGCCCAGGAGATTAATGCGATGAGTCTCACCTATTATTATCCCTGTTGTTCACATTGCATGGATAAGAGGGGCTGGGAGTGTCCTCCAGAGTGGCGGCCTAACCTGCATTAGGGCAGGCATTATGCTACCTGGACCGTGATAGTGACTTGTCAGCTGTGATCTTCGATTCTCGACCAGTCCAGGAACGGACGGGAACATCTGTCCTTGTCATAATGCTTGTCCGTGGTTTTCCTGTTTTGTTCCAGCCAAGGTGCTATACTAGGAGGGAGTACCCCGACTCCATGCCTTGACTCTTCCCTCAGATCCTTGTCCAGATCCTTGTTTAGAAAGGTATCGACAAATATCGGTCAGCGAGCGTCCCCGCTTCAGGACTCAGGGGCAAAGAAGGCAGGGAAGTGGTCTGGAATGATTCGAAACACCACTAGAGGCTAATGCAGAGTACAACACAAGGTGGCTGGTTTTGACCCCTCTCCAAGCAAGAAGCCGCTGCTGGAGTTATATAGTACAAGTCATTGATCAACAAGGCAAAATCAATTGCTTCTCTGTCAATTGGATTCGGCCACTCGGATGAAGTGGCAGGTAACGCCAAAGACGAGCCAGGCAGATGTTGGGAATGGGGCAGAATAAACCAGTGCAGGCTCAACTCAGCGGATGTCTTGAATGAAACGATTCCTCGACGACAGTTTCCACCAATGTTTTGTCGCTGCGGAAACTGGTCAGGCCTTTGTCACTGGTGATAATTCTCCGGTTCAAGATGCACAAATCTCAATCTTGAGCAAACAGCAACGCCGCAAGAATCACTCTCCACCCTTCTCTTTGTGAGAGCGAAGCGGGGTTACTCCAATGGATGATTTCAGTGGCTGGACATAGTTCCTACTGAAAAAGATCCTGTCAGTGAAAGTACGAAAACGTAGTGGCAAGTTTCCTTGAAGATTGAAGATCATGATAAACTTCTGGGAGGAGAGGCAGAATGATGAATGGTCAATAGAAGGGAAATCTATAGTATAGAGTACATAATATACAGGGGAAAAGTCCAGCGGACGAATAATACATGAAGCCAACCGGCTGACGGGCCTGGTTGATGTTAGTGTACATTGCAGCAAAGGACTAGTTGGTGGCGGTCCTTGGTGCTGGCTCTTCGTAGTCATGGTTGCGAGTTGTGGTACCAACGGCGGCACCCTCCTCGCCCTCGGGTGCAGTTGAGTTCCGTTCAGATTCTTCCTCATAATTATCGCCGTCCGCTGGATCGATTTCGGCGGCAGATTCCTCGGCACCAGACGCATCCAGCACATCCGGGTTATAGAGTCCATCCGGTGGATTGACTTGCTGGCCTGCATCCATGAACTGCTTTTGTTCAAGGACCTGCTTCTGCAAGGCAATCTGGCGGCGCAAAGAGGCATCCTTCCGAAGCTTCTTGTTCGCCGAGAATTCGGTTAATGCCCTTACCATCCTCTCCTCCACGAGTTGCTTCACATGGACTGCCAGTGTCCGATCTGTGAAGACACCTCCAAAACGATAACTGAGCCAGGTGTAGAGAATCACAGATCTATGTAGGGATTCCAACTCGTGCATGTAATTCTTTTCTCCAGATACCGGTTCTTCAAGGATCTCAAGCCGGACATCGTCAATGTCCAAAAGTCGGCCGTTTGTGTGCTCTGCAACGCAGCGCACGAATGCCATCCCCACATCACGCCCGGATTGTTCTCGTGCATGTATAGGCGCAGCCATGAATGTTAACTGATCTGGAAATTGCAGGCCGGGCACGGCATCAATGACCTCAGCATTCTCCAGATGTTGATCGATATCGCACATAAAAAATAGGGGGTTTGTCTGGGAAATCTCCGCCAGTCGCTTGACAACATATTCTAGTGAGACACTCTGTGGGAAGTAGGCCGCCATTTTCTCGTGCGCGGAGTCGGGAGGATGGATACCCGCAGCTTTGAGCGGTGGTGGGTCAGCACCCAAGGCATTGCGGATATATGGCAAGTCAACTTCTTCTAGCGAGGTAACATAACCAACATTGGATGTATCCTGCTGGCGCTTTTTATCATCATTGTGTTGTGCCGCTGTCCGATATCGGCCAGCCCGTCCACCGATTTGTTTGATCTCGGAGGCACTGAGCCTGGAAAGACCCGTTGGAATATTCTTCACAACGGTCTCGAATATGATACGCTTGCAGCTCCTACAAGCAGTTAGGAAGGGGAAAATAAAACCACACAGGGGTGATATAATAGAGGGGAACCCACAAATTCAAGCCCATGCCTATGGCGTCGCTTGCTACCAAAATGTCATAATCATTATTTGGATCGTTGAAAAGGCTTGCTTGCTGGGTACGAATTTCAGCCGGCAATCCACCGTAAATAATAGCAGCCCGTCGTCCCGTTACTCTTTCAATATCGGCTTTCAAGGCGTGGATCCCAACTCGGGAGAAAGAGACCACACAGTCCCCCTTCTCAAGTTTTCTCAAATCTCCATTCAGACTCCGATCCATAGCTTTCAGGGGATTCAATCGCTCGTAGCGATGTATCTCCAGCTTGTCCCCAGTGAGGGCCGCAAGCTCCCGAATCAGAGGGACCGCTCTTACCTCTCCACACAGGTGTAGCTCTGTAGCGCGTGCTCCTAACAGAGCACGAGTCCAAGCCCAACCGCGTTTCGGGTCAGCTATCATCTGAATCTCATCGATCACACCAACTTCGTATTGTTGCCCTAAGTTAACCATCTCCACGGTATTGCTCACGACTACCGACTTTTGACCCTCGTGGATTTTGACTTCATCTCCCGTGACAAGACTACACGGAATTCCACTTGTGTGAAAGCGATGATAAACCTCTTGGGCAAGGAGTCTCAGAGGCCCTGCATAAAAGCCGCTTTTTGAAGCCTCCAAGCGTTTCAACGCAGCGTACGTCTTTCCGGAATTCGTGGGCCCAACATGTAAATGGATAGTTCTTTGGATAGCGCGCGCCTGTGGGTACCATTCCGCTGGGTATCGCATGTCCGCAATTTTTTGCTGCTGTTGTAGGTTTGGCTCTGAGAATTTGGTGTCGAGCTCCTGCGCGTACAGCATGTACTCCAATTCACGTTTTAATGCCCGGGCACCAGATTTGAGGTACGTCTTTTGCATTGTGTTCTTCACCTGGATTAAGGAGCCTTGTTTGGCACCCGTTCCCCTGTCGCTAGCTTTGCAAGCATTCAAGATGGAGCGCTCGAACCGCTTCCATGTGTCTGGGGCTTGATCTGATGAAACTGACTCCTCTGCTTTCATTTCTCGAAGCAGGCCTGTGACAATGGAGGGGAAATCTTCAGCCATCATCGCTTTCCTCCGTAATTTGCCGGGGTACATAAGCTTCTGGTCGATATTGTCGGTGCCATCGGTCTATTCGAAACCAGCGTCAGCATATTTCCAAACGAAGACGGCCGCGCATAATAATATCATACAATTGTACCTACCGTATTCTTCTTAGCTTTTCGTGGTTCCAACCGCTCTGGCTTTTGCGCACGTTTCGAACGCTGAAATGGTGAAGAAGTCGTGAATGGTCGCGAGAAAGGGCGCAGAGATACTCGGATGGCACATGACAGGCCATGGTTGCCTCTGCTGGACCATGGCTGCATTACTCCTGGGCCGTCTTTGGGGAAGTTGGGATGGAATGAAGCTGTTTGTCGAGGGCGCAGCACAGGGCCGAATTTATCGGAGGCGCTCCACGCATCCGAAGTAATTCATGCACAATAATCAACGGAAGATGGACGCTAAGCAAATCACCGTATATTCTAAAGAACAAAAAATCAGGCGGTATGCATCAGTAAAGACCACATTGGAAGCTGTCGAAAAAGCCGCCAGAAATTTGAGTCGCAAACATGAAAAGTTGCCTCCTCACCGCGTTTGGCGATACGGGAGATCGGAGTCGGAGCCGCCGCCAACCGCATCAGAGCTGGTGGGGATCTCCGGTCTCTCTGGAGCCATGCTACGTTTCATAAACAGCACTCCTCCTTTACCACACCCTGTTCAATAACACCCTTCTGTTGCCTCACTCTTGTTTTTCCCACACACTTATACTCCGCTACCTGCCGTATCCCCCGTCCAGCCCGAGACAAAGAGCTGCAACCCCTCCTGAGGGCTGCCGGCTGGCCACTATGAGCTCGTTCCTCGACATCCAGCGGGAAAGTAAGTCATGCCGCGAATTGGGCCGAGGGAGAGGCCCTCCAATATTATCGGGTGCTAATTTTGCTTGAAACTAGTTATCCTGAACACGATTCGCTCTACGGGAGGCAACAATGTGCGATCCAGGCTCCCCCCGCCTTTCCCCTCCTTATCTATGACGGAACTGACGTTGGGCATCTGCAGTGGAAGGTCTTGGTGTTGGATGAAGCCAGTCGGAACTTGATCTACAATGCGGTTAAAGAAGATGATATCCTCAATCTGAATGTCACCAGTAAGTTCACCCTACTGAGGTCATAGCAACAGAATGCATGGTCTGACGCGCTCCACTGCCAGATATCGAACAGATCGAAGAAAGACGGCAGTCCAACCAGCCGATGGATGCCCTTTATATCCTGTCCGCTCTCCCACACATCACCGACTGTGTTCTAGCCGATTTCGAGAGGAAGAGGTATAGAAAATCATACTTGGTGTGGACGTCATGTCGGTGAACCCTTATTTGCGTGTCGCGAGTTGCGCCCAATTCTCACATTGCTTGCCAGTTCTCGATCCGGCGCTGCGCGCTAGGTTTGATCGATCGCAGATGGTCCAGGAGCAGCTTGCGGGGTTCCAAACCATTAGCATCGACTACTTCCCAAGGGAATCGCGTCTTGTCACGTTTCGCGATCCTTGGAGTTTCCCGGTTCTGTTCCATCCCGATTGCAACCAGTTGATCAGACAGCACCTAGCAACACTGGCACACAAAGTATGACATTTCCCCATCTCTAACGGAGTATGCGTGGATTAACGGATACTGCAGGCTGTGTCCATCTGTGCAACCTTGGGAGAATACCCCGTAATTAGATATTATCGGCCCAGAACCCCTACTCATGAAGCCAGTGTACTATGCTCGCATTTGGCACGGTTCATACAAGAAGAGCTAGATCAATTCGCGCAGTTTAATCGCGGCTTCCCACCACAATCTCCGAGGCCGCGCGGTGTCCTATTGGTAGTAGACCGCTCGATGGATCTATTCGCGCCTTTGATCCATGAGTTCACCTACCAGTCTATGGTTCACGATTTGCTCCCAATAAAGGAAGGGGATAAGGTTACATACAAGATGGTTTTAAACAAGGGCTCCATGAATCAGGAAGAAAAAGAAATGGAAATAAACGACCATGATAGGGTTTGGGTTGAGTACAGGCATATGCATATGAAGGACGTGCTAGGTAAACTGGGCGAAGATTTTGCCAAGTTTCGAGCAGCTAACCCGCAGTTTGCGGATGGGTATGTACCCCCCTTTCTATCTTCCTCAGTATGTCGCTCACTAGGTTCAGCAACGACAAAGCGGATGTGGGTATGATCAAAGACATGTTAGCTGGTCTCCGAGACTTTCAAGAGGGCAGAGACGCATATACCCTCCACCTCAACATGGCAGAAGAGTGCATGAAATTTTTCCAGGAGCACAAACTGATCGAAGTTAGCTCAGTTGAACAAAGCCTCGCAACTGGCCTCGATGAGAACTATAAGAAGGCCAAGGGATTAGCATCACAGCTTGTGCAACTATTAGATGATGACACCATCATCCACACCGATAGACTACGGCTCTTACTGTTTTACATTATATACCGCAACGGATTACTTCCTAGCGACATCAGAAAACTCATGGCCCATGCGAATCTTCGACCGCAGGACGGACAAGTGATTTCCAATCTCGAACTACTGGGTGCGAGAGTTGACAAGCAATTGAAGGATGACAAGCCTCCTGTTCAACCGCTGTTTAACAGAAAGCCTCCTGTGCAGTCCGAATTCGACGAAGGGATCCTCTCGCGGTACGATCTAAACGTTAAAATGATGTTAGAGGACGTTATTCGGGGCACGCTCGACCCATCTGTATTCCCGCCGACTCGCCCGCACGCTGATGCCGATGGCATGGCAGCACAGCAGGATACTCTTGCACAAGCGTCCCTCCGAAGTGCGAAGCCTACCTGGGCACGAACACGCTCAGCAGGAGAGCAGCCGCGACAACGTATCATTGTCTTCATGGCTGGAGGTGCCACATATGGGGAAGCGCGAACATGTTACGAACTATCTGACGCTTTCAAGAAGGACATCTTCCTAGCCACTTCCCACATGCTTACCCCTGGACTCTTTCTCCGCCAAGTCAGCGACTTGAGCGCAGACAGGCGACGCCTCGACATTCCTGCCGAACGACCAAAACCGACCGCACCCGCACACCTATTTGAGAAAGACACCCCGCCACCCCAGCCCGCCCCCCAGAAGAAACCAAACCCTGCACCCCCTGCCGCCGCAATGGGGGCAATGTCTTTGGGGCCGTCTCCGTCTCCCCAAAAGCCACCCATTACGGGCTCGAAACCTCCGAAAGAACAAAAGGAGAAAAAGAAGCATCGTTTCTTCAGGTAGCATCGTTCAAAACTTTGGCGTCTGGAACCACATTTACTGTTTATGTTTTTAGCCGCGCTCCTGTGATACCATTTAGGGTTGTTTAAGCAATAAGGCGCCGCGGGATTCAATTGATATTTCTTTTGTCCTTAAGCTGATATTCACGCAGCCTTTCAACTCTATTAATCATAACTATCATAATCATATATAGTACATGGGGTATCATAGAACATAATGGCAACCAACCATAATAGCAACGCCGTATAGGGAAATAAAATAGAAATCAGGCCCCGCCAAGATACCTCAGCACATCCTCATCCTGATAAAACATCTCCTGTAGCTTTTCCCTCTTCTTCCGTGCCTCCATATGGCCCTTCCTCACCTGCTTCGCATCCAACTTCTGAACTTTGTCCTTCTTTTTCTTATCCACAGACGCCGGCGAAGGCACAGCGGCTCCCAGCCCCACCGTATCGGCCTTTAATTTCCCCTTCAAAGGCTCTCGAATCCCCTCTCGTCCAGAAGCGCCAAGGCCTACCCGGCTATCTGGATCCCAGCCATAAGACTCGAGATAGCGGAGTCCATGCCGTGTGCGGTCAAGGTGAGAGGGCGGATGAGAATGAGCAAGACAGACTTGGTGCGCGATAGAGGATTCATGAGGTTTATGAGCTTCTGTTTCGGAGGGATTCAGCGGGAGTTTGCAGACTTCACAGGTTGGATTTGAAATAGGCGGAGGAGGGGCGGAGTGGCTGCGGTCGTTTGTGTCGGAGCTGGGTTCTGCTGCGGTTATAGATTGAGATACTGGGGTCGCGGCCGAGTCTGAACCCGAAGCTGAGGATGACGGCTTCGGCATAACGATCGAGAGATATGTATTCGCTATACTAGCCCCCGCGTTCGACGGGGTGCTGGGCGCGGACGAGGTGAGCGTTGAGAGTTCATGGTTTGAGGACCGCACGAAGGCGACGCGTTTGCGGGTTATGCCTGCGCCGAAGACACGCTGGTCTTCGAGTGGGAGGAAGTAGTCCTCATCTTCGTAGTTTGACATGTTTAGTGGCGTGCAGGTCGAGACTGGAAGCATTCCTGAGGAGGGAAATGCTGCGTCGACCGCCTATTTTTGGTGTGGCGGGAGATCGGCCGCTATTTTGATGTTTCGCAAGCTTCAGGTCCCTTCGGCCTGTCTCTCTCTCTTCTTCACACGACAAACTCACTCTCACCAACTTCTCCAGCCGACATGCCCATCCCTATAATCACCCAGGGCATCGTCGAGGGTTTATCCTCCATCCCGTATTCGTACACCATTCTCAAGATCTTGCCATTCATCCTCGTTATTGCAGCCTTGAAGTATTACTTCGGTGGTGCGCGCAATGACTCCGAACGGCTTATGCACTCCAAGGTCGTGATGGTGACGGTATGCTAATTTCCGAGCTATATATGTACACCCCGGCCGTTGCTAATAGTCACTAGGGAGGCACCTCCGGAATTGGAGCCAGCGTCGTCTACGAACTCGCATCCCGCGGCGCCCAAATCATCCTCCTCACCCAACATTCCCAATCGGACATATTCCTCGTCGACTATATCGACGACCTGAGAAAGTCAACGGGAAACCAGCTTATATATGCAGAGCAGGTAGACCTTTCCTCTCTCCACTCCATTCGAAGTTTTGCGACAAAATGGATCGATAATGTCCCGCCCCGTCGACTCGACATGATTATTCTCTGTGCGAACACAGCGGATCCCACCCCTTCCAAGCCAAGAGTCACAATGGACGGAATAAATGAGGAATGGCAGGTCAATTACCTCGCGAACTTCCATCTACTCAGCATCCTCAGCCCAGCGCTCCGAGTTCAGCCACCCCACCGTGACGTCCGCGTGATAATGACAACGTGTTCAAGCTACATCGGAGCACAGAAACTGGATTTCTCCCAGCTAGACGCAGACACCATCCCGATTCACAGACAAACGACTAACAAGCGTACCCCGGCCTCTAAAAAGACAGCATCCAAACAGCCCCGCCAGCCTCAGAAACAGAACATCTTCGGTCTAAGCAAAATCTCCCTCATGATTTTCGCCACCTCTTTTCAAAAGCACCTCAACGCCTTCAAACGCCCCGATGGTCAACCTCCCTCTGCCCGCGTTGTTCTCGTTGACCCAGGTCATTCCCGCACACCCGGAACCCGCCGCTGGCTCACTGGCGGTTCTCTCGTGGGCCTGCTAGCATATCTCGTTACTTGGCCAATATGGTGGCTTATTCTCAAATCCCCGCAGCAAGGGGCTCAAACTATCCTGTACGCAGCGATGGAGGCAAAATACGGCCGCGGAACCGGCGGGTGGATGCTGAAAGAGTGCCAGGAGGTAGATTTTGCTAGGAAGGAAGTTACGGATGAGGAAGTTGGTAAGAAGTTGTGGGAGGCTAGTGAGAAACAGATCGAGGAGAGGGAGAAGGAGGGAGCTGTGTTGCGAGCTTTGCAGAAGAAGGTGGAGGAAGAAAATGAAAAGGCGAAAGCTCAAACCCAAACTCAAAAGCCTGCTGCATCCGGAGCCAAAGAGCAAAAGGCTGGATCGAGAAGAAGCCGCAGGGGAAATGGAAATAAATAATTATACGATCAAGAAACGGCAAATGAGTTCAGCCCAGACATGAATGGCTATTATATATATTTATATTAAGAAATCCATGGTCCGAGTAAAAGGATCAAGAGAAAAGGAAAAAGAAAAGAAAAGAAATTCGTTCCATTCCATCTAATCGAAAAGATCATTTTCGCTATCCATGCGATATTTATCTATCCATCCTCCACTTTTAAAACTAAACCAAACCTCATGCAATGAATAGATCTCCCAAAACATTTCATTCAATTCCCAAGATATCTTATTAAATTATTCCTGTCTTCCTTTCTCCCCACTTATTTCTTGAGCTGGTCCAGCAGCTGAGCGGGAGGCTGTTGCCTGTATCCCTGGGGGTTGTTCTCAGTCCAGAGCCAGAGATCCTCGCAGGCCTGCTCGAGGGTTCGCTGGGCTTTCCAGCCGAGCTCCTCGTTGGCGCGAGTCGGGTTGGATGTGAGGTTGAGAACGTCACCAGCACGGCGGGGAGCGACTTCGTAGGCGAGGTCGCGGCCGACGGCCTTGGAGAAGGCGCGGACCATCTCGTAGACGGTGCTGCCACGGCCGGTACCCAGGTTCCAGGCGCGCACACCGGGGTTGTTGGAGCGGAGGTAGTTCAGGGCCTTGAGGTGACCGTCTGCAAGGTCGAGAATGTGGATGTAGTCGCGGATAGCGGTTCCGTCGTGAGAGGCGTAGTCTGCCGATAGGGTTAGCTGATGATATTTATTTGCCGGGCCTCGTTAAGGCAGTCAGGAGCTTACCATCTCCGAAGACAAGGAGCTTCTCGCGCTTGCCAGTGGCGACTTGGGCGAGCAAGGGGAGCAGGTTGTAGGGGACACCCTGGGGGTCCTCGCCCATGATACCGCTGGGGTGGGCACCAGCGGGGTTGAAGTAGCGCAGCAGAGCGCCGTTCCACTTGGTGGCCTCAGCCTCGTTGCCTGCCTTGGTGGCGTTGTTGCGCTGAGCGTTGATAACGTCGGTAATGGCGAGCTCAATAGCATACTTGGTGTTGCCGTAGGGGTTTGTGGGGCCGAGAGGGCAGACCTCGGGGATGGGGATCATGTTGGGGAAACGGGTAGCATCTCCGTACACGGTAGCGGAGCTAGAGAAGACAATGTTGGTGACGTTGTGACGGACCATGGAGCGGAGGAGGCAGATGGTGCCGTAGACGTTGACATGGTAGTAGTCGAGGGGCTTCTCGCCAGATTCGCCGACGGCCTATTGCAGAGCAAAGGGTGAGTCTCGGAACGGGAAATTCGGTTTCGAATACAGGGTTGGGCATACCTTCAAGGCGGCGAAGTGGATGACACTGTCAATGTCGGGGTGGGCTTCGAAAACCTTGTCGAAGGCAGCCTCGTCGGTGACATCGAGCTGCGCAAACTCGGCCTTCTTGCCAGAGATCAACTCAATGCGGTTCAGAGCCTCCGAAGAGGAGTTGTAGAGGTTGTCAGCAACGACAACCTTGTAGCCAGCCTCCAGCAGGGCGAGGGTGGTGAAGGAGCCAATGTAGCCGGTGCCACTGTGAAGGAGGGGCAGATTAGCGGCTGTCAGTGTCGTTTCAGAGACTGAGAACTTACCCGGTGACGAGAACGGATCCAGAAGGCATGATGAAGGTGTAGTTACAAGGACGAGAAGACCAGAGGAGAGAGGGATGGCAGTCAAAAAAAGACGGTGAGGACAGCGGGGATGGCGGGATATTTAAGGGGAAGACCGCAATGACAATCGATGGTTTCGATGGTGGGGGGACGAGGAAGGTTGTCTGCCCCTCATCAACCTACAACTGTCCGTTTCCAGGCACAACAGCATGCCTCTCTAACCAATTGCGTCGCTGTCACCGATCATACGCCACAGCCAGGTCCTCTTCTTCGACCTGAACCAACAATTGCAACAAACAATTGTCCCGAAATTCGATCAAGAATCGCCATGCCCCCCAGTCAAGGCGAAACCGCATCCTTATGGATCGGCACCGCAACACCGGCAGCATACGTACTCCTCTGCAATGCACGACGATCAACACCAGTTTGATTAATTCCCTAGGGCTTTTCCCCCTGGTATCAGGAAAAAAGGATATAGAAATATCAGACACCTATATTGGAGCCCGCTAACCCATTGAAGCTCGACATAGTTCGACTGAGGACAGTCCCTATCTTGCAGAGCATGCTCTTGAATAATTGGGCTCTCGGGCCAGACGCACGGTCTTCGCCAGGAAGTCGTCCCAATAATAGCGCCGGGCTTCCAGACTTCCAGCTCTGTGGCGGGTCAAGTTCCACTTGCTGGGTGGGCCTGGCGTGTCCATTGTCCGAGGGGTCTTCGCCTTCCGTGCCCAATCACACAAGACAAGAGGAGCGATAATGCACATTGTCAGGCCTTGCCGCTGGTTCATGTTGTGGTTTTTTTTATCGCACCATCTCCGGATCAGAACATGCGATGCTACTAATATAACTGACATGCATTGGAATACAACAGCCGGTTGGTTATTGTTTCTCGAATTTGTAGATAATTACGGGTTTCAAGCACAAACTTAGGTAGGCAGATTGCTCATGATAGAAGAAAAAAGAACTAGATAATGATGCTCGCTACGGCGGTACTGTGCAAATCCGGTGCAGTTAGGACTAACCCAGGCTGAAGCACATTGCAATAAGACCTTTCCGTAGAATCGCAGATCCGCTCGTTTGTACAGAGTATGGTGCGCCAAAAGTAGCCTGGAGGCCTTCCGGCTTTTCCTATCTTTCCTTTCTCCCCCGGCGTCCCTCCCCGACGTAGGAGTAAAAAGAAATTAGGGGTTGTAAATCCCTGGAGGCACATTTTTGTCAAGAATAACAGGACTACACCTGTACTCCGGTCGTGCGCAGAGAGGCGCATAGACATGGTCCAATAATCCACATTGCACATTATTACATGCACTGCGCCATATGTGGAGCGAAGAACTGATAAGGTGCGAAGTCAATCCCGATTTTTTGGGGGCACTCTTTAACCGAGAAGCTCAACATCTAACCCGATAGCTCGCATAAAGAGGTTGACGTTTCCAAGTCGTTGGCTAGCCATGTCAGCAGGAAGTGTCTTGCTGTGCGTGACAGTTTCCATAACACGGTCCCTAAAAAGCTAGTAGTTAGCAAAATGGCCTCCAACATGAAAAGACAGTAAGTCGCTTACTTGACGGCGATAACCAAACGCTGTTGCTGTTCCGGACTTGCTCCAATTCCAGTAGCGGCCAAGAATTGCCAGACATACATATCATCACCAGCATTGATAGAGTTGGGGAAAACGTCGCTGAAAATAGGCTCGAGTGTATCGAATAAGACGTTGAATTTCTCGACCCATTGTTGCCAATCATTCTCACTTGCTTGCCCAGCTTCCTTGACAATTTCTGCTCTGCTTAGAAGCATGGTTAAGATTCCTAGACCGATTCGTGTCCTAGCAACAAATTGCACATGGGTCTGTGTAATGACCAGGCCAAGAAGTCCGATGATGATATTGAAGGGGGCCTCGCTAACATAACCAAGGAGACTTGGCATAACGGCTTGGGAAAATAGATCGATGGCTTCCCTCACGGCTAGGGACGGCTGGAGCTCACCGGGCGTAGGGTGCGCTCTCTGAACAACGTCTAGAGTGTCGAGATGCACGACAATCATTGTGAGGATGGTGATCCGCTGTTCCTGATCGATATGACGGAATATGCGTGGAATGGCCTTCTTACCTTTGGGGTAAGAGAGGAACGCAATAAACGGGTGAGGGGTGTTGGAGTTTGGTACAATAGCCTCCATGACTTTCAGGTCCTGCCACAGCTTTTGGTTGAGCGAGTGGACTTTTTGACGCCACTCCATATGTGTTTGAATTGCCTCGGGATCGTTCTCATCGGGTGGGGGAGGCATCGTGCGCTCCATATCCTCCAATTCCATCAAAGTGCTGTAGACCCCCTCGAGGTTCGTCAAGATGGACTTGCGGTCACTCAGACTTAAATCCGTTTGTAACTTCTTGGTAGTCTTGCCACCTTCCGAACTCTCGGGACGTTTGATATTCAGCGAGGGCTTCGGCGCTTTAGCATTTCCGAATGAAATCTTTCCTAAGCTACCCTCAATAATGAGTTGCTTGTTTTTCGGCTTCGCTTTGGCGGCCTCCACTGCACGTTGAACCTGTTGCTGCATACGCTGCATGTGATTATCCCCAGTGTGGGCGTGCTTGCGCGACCCATGGCCACCGACGCGATTGCCGGTTTGGAGCAAATAGGTCTGTGCGAAGTGGCCGAGAGGCTGATGGGGGTGTTGCCGGGGTGCACCTCGGATTTGGCTGTACACTTGATAATAGAAGTCTTCTGCCAAAACGGCCTCCGAATCGGTGTCAGCCATGTTTCCAGCCTGTGCCACCAGCTGCTGTAGTTGGATACGGGTGATGAAATTTTTATCTTGGGGGGTCATCAGCCCATTGCCCTTGGATAGAAGGAAGATCTTGTGATTTCGCTTTGCACGTTTAGCATCCTCCATGAGGTACGCTACGCGCTGTTCTTCCGTCAGATCCATCAACTGCTGTGGGTTAGTAATCAACGGCAAGTGCGCACTTGGTCCCCGGGCATGTTGTGGCGGTGGTTGCACGGGCTGCTGTTGCGGGGCCTGTTGTGGATGCTGACCACGCGGGGGCATCGCCTGGGGTTGTTGAGGCGCAATATGCGGTGGGGGAGCGTTATGATTTTGAAGAAGATGCAGGGGGGCGTTAGGAGCGTGAGCCGGATGAGGGAAGGGCTGCGGACCCATTGTCTGCGGATGCAACAGTTGTGGCGGCACACCTCTTCCATACTGAGCTTGCAGATACTCATACTCATGCGGGAGTCCCTCGGGAAGGTTGAGAATCTGCTGAGGCCTTTGGAGAGGAAGAGGGGGTTCGGCCATTTGCTGAGGTAGCGGGATTTGATGTCCACCTGGCATCGGTGGAACACCATGGCCCCGGATTTGCGCTTCAACCTCCTCGAGACTCATCATCTTTCTTGCCTGCGACGTAGCTTGAAGCCCCGGTTGTTCTGACTTGTTTGGCAGGCCCCAGACGCTGGACTTGGCTTGGAGATCCGGAATATAACCGGGATCATTATACTTTTCATATCCTGTTCGCCTTGGCTGCTGTAACGCGCTTACGCCGGTGGTTACGGTGGTCTTGGTTTCGGTGACAGGAGCAGCGGCAGGTGCTTGAGGGTTCTTCAGGTTGTAGCGGACTTGCTCCTCTCCGATGACGTCTGAGACTTGCGCCGTCTTCCCAAAAAAGTCGAAGTCCTTGCCGACAGGGGCGGTGTCCACCTCGCCGAAGGTATCCTGGTTGAAGGCATCCTGATCCTCGTCCAGCTGGTCTCCTAGCCCATCGTAGGTATCTTCGAAATTGAGGCTATAGTCATCCAGAAAAGTACACGTATCAGTAAAACGCCATATTTAGGTACTCATTGGCGACCAAAAAAGCGAGCATTGGGTGGGTATCGCTTACACATCGTTGTCGTCGCCGTGGTGCGCCGCTGCTTGGGCGCGGGCGACCTCAGCAAACGGGTCGGGTGTGTCGAAAATCCCCCTCTGTCCGTCCTGGGGAACTCGGTCCCTGGGAAGGGTTGTGTCGAAGCCGAAGAACGACATATTCGACAAGGAGGTGGATGGGGAGAGGGGAAGTGGTGGGTGAATGCGGGAGATTTAGCATTCCCAAGAATTGTGGTGCGGGATGAAGTCAAGTCACGATGTTTTCTGCCTGAGGCATTAAGGGTACACCAACTACTTATTCATTTTTGCCTTGTTTGGGTTCCCTGGCGCACATGTGTGCACGGAACTGCATGTAGACAATCCATAAATGAGTTAAATGGCTTCCGAGCAAACTACTCCAATAATAGGGTACAATTCAGCAAAAAATATGTCGCTGGGTCCAGTGATAGGTGTTAATGCCTTAGGCACTTAATTAATATCAGATGTACTGCGGACAAAACGGGTTTCAAGTTCCAACAGCAGCCCAATTTGGCCTGCATCGGACGCGCAAAGACATAATATATGCGCTATATTTCCAATGGGTTTGAGCTCACTGCCTATTATTCTGGGTCCTTGAGTTTATAATGGGAAGTGTACGTATGCTATGCCGCCCCGCCAATAAGGTGGCGGAGCTGGCTCAGTTCCCAGTGTTGCAGGCCGCAGTCGCAACCAAACTCCTTTACATTGTCAACCCATTTCCCCTTTAACGAGAGGCCCAACAACACTCAATTGTCTCATAGGAAACTTACACTTTCCTCCCTATACGTTGACTCGGAAATTTGCCTGGTCCGACACACTAAGGGCCGAGTCCGCCCGTCTTTACGCCCTTCGCAATCCAACCTGTCGCGCGGGACCTCCGGGAAGGACCGCACATATTAGAGGGCTCAACCTTCCTGGAAGTCGGTATCAAATCTTGGGTGTAACCGGAACTTTTTCTCACAAGCTCCATGGGCCTGCATTGAATACCACGAATCTTTGCTCTAGTCTCGAGTCGCCATCCTTCGTGCGCTGATTGCACGTCGCACCAAGAATGGCGCCGACACAGGGGAAGTACACGCGGTATCTTATACTCGCCATCTTGGTTAGTTTGACCTCATTCCCCTTATAGGGTATTACAGGCTAACCTGAATCATGTAGGGAGTGGCCATTTTCTTCCTCTCAAGACGTTCGCTTCCTCTCCCCGGCACAAAACAGGGCTCTGGTGGCATTCCCCAACCCTCAGTGCACTCCCCACCCTCCGATGAGACTGAATCGCTAGGAGGATATACACTGAATAGACATTCAAGTAGCGAGGTAATGCGATTTGCTGCTACTCACCCTGGCGGCCGTGCGAACGCGACATTTGTGACTCTAGCACGTAATACGGACATATGGGAGATTTCCCAAGCCATTCGCCAGGTGGAGGACCGTTTCAACAACAAATTTCACTATGATTGGGTATTCTTGAATGACCAGCCCTTTGACGACGATTTTATCCGCATCACAACCTCCCTGGTATCTGGCACCCCCCGTTATGGCCTGATCCCGCCGGAGCAATGGTCCTATCCAGACTGGATTGACCAGGATAAAGCAAGGGAAGTGCGGGAAGATATGCGTGACAAGAAGATCATATACGGTCACTTAGAAAGTTACCGACATATGTGTCGTTACGAATCGGGTTTCTTCTTCCGTCATCCTCTGCTTCTGGAATATGAGTTCTATTGGCGGGTGGAACCAGGCATAGAACTATTCTGTGACATTCCATATGACCCTTTTGTGTTCATGAAAGAGAACGATAAGAAATATAGCTTCGTAATGAGCTTATTTGAATATCCAGGCACCGTCCCAACACTTTGGGACACCGTGAAGGAGTTCATGAACGAGCATCCTGAACATATTGCAGAAGGAAACTCAATGCAATTTTTGAGTGACGATAATGGTAAAAACTACAACATGTGTCACTTCGTAAGTGCCCACTGCCTTGGGATCTGCTTTTACTGCTAATGCATGTATAGTGGTCGAATTTTGAGATCGGAAGCCTGGACTGGTTGAGATCCAAGGAATACATTGAATACTTCGAAGCCCTAGACCGGAAAGGTGGCTTCTATTATGAGAGATGGGGCGACGCACCTATTCATTCAATCGCCGCCGGATTGTTTCTCAAGAGGGAGCAGTTGCAGTTTTGGGATGAAATCGCCTACTTTCATATGCCCTACACTCATTGTCCCCACGATGAACAATTGAGGATGGATCTACGGTGCAGCTGCGATCCAGGAGGGAACTTTGACTGGAGGGACGGATCATGTGAGTTCTCTTTATCTTGTAATTGTCGGCGTCTTCGGCTAATGTTTCTGTACACAGGCCTGCCTCGTTACTACCTAGCTAACGGCATTCCGCTACCTGATGGTGTCAATACATACGGCTGGCTGTCAATACTGGGAAGGATTATTCTCTTGGCAGGCTTCATCGGCCTTTTAATCATCGCCATTAATCCCCGGGCGCGGAACCACGCCCTTCTAGGAGGACAACATTTATATAGGCAAAGCCAAACATTCTGGGACCGATATCAGAAAGAGAGAGATGAGTGGGAGAGAGATAGACTAGCTCGAACGCGGGCCAACTCATAATCTCGCGAGGGCGGAAGTTTGTGCTCTTCTCGGCGGCTCGCAATTATCTGGACCATCTCGATATTGGAGACATTTAGCGATCTTTATATTCTCACCATGCATTCGGGGTTTGGCGCTACTGTGTAGTTTTATTTTTTCGGATATACATATTGACGAACTTATGCGCAAACAATGGTGTTTAAGGGAATTGGGGGCTCAGATGGCGGGTTTTATGCATTGTTCATATTAAGCCACTTAGGGTCAGATTGGTGACTTTTGTTTTATAGAACTCCACATATACTAAGTATGATATGCAAACTAAAGTAATGAAGTTTCCGTTACAACTGTGTAGTTTGGATGATATGTATACAGATACAACACTTAAATATTCCAGATATAATACAATGGCGCCAATCGAGACATGAGACTCTTTCCCGTAACATCCAGTCAATTAGCCATAATTAATCATCTACTCCTTCTTGGGCTTCTTCGTGCCGTATTTCGACCTGCTATTTACTCGGCTGGCAACGCCACCCTGTACAGAATTGTGGTTAGAGTGGATATAGAGGACGATAAGGACCAAAACATACCAAGTCCATAGCCCCTCTCACCAGATGGTATTTCACACCAGGACAATCCGGCGCACGACCGCCGCGAACAAGAACGACACTGTGTTGCTGGACATTGTGGCCTACGCAGACTCGTTAGTACATACATACCAACCAAGTACCACAGCTCGAGCCAACTGCTCCCAGCCAGCGAGCGGAGATAGGCACGAAATTGACATACCTTCACCAGGAATATAAGCCGTGACAACCTTTCCACTAGTCAAGCGTACACGAGCCGTCTTTCTTTCACCGGAATTGGGCTTCTTGGGCTTCGTGATACCAGTCTTCATGCATACGCCCTTCATTTGAGATCGGTTGATAAGCGCAGGGGAACGGGAGCGGCGCGCGGCCTGCGAAGTCCGGCACCCGCGGCGGACTTGGTTAAAAGTTGCCTGGCGGAAAGGAGATGTTGAGAATCGGCGAATCGCCGGGGGCTTTGCGGATGCGAATGCGAATGCTTGCGCCGCGGAGGGTGTGCGGAGGATGGGTTGGAATCGGGGAGCTGAGGATGTAGGCTTTATGGAAGCCGCGGGGATGGTTGGCCGTTGGACGAGAGTCCGCAGGGTGCGAAGCGCCAGGGGGGAGAAGAGGGACGGCATTTTTGTGTATCGGGGGCCGACTGGTGTTGTTAATCCTGCTGGATGATCGAATGTCGGCTTGCTGCTGGAGATAATTTCCCACAGGTAGGTCATGTGACACAACTGGTGTATGTTGCGGAGTTGGTCTGCTTGGGTGTCCCGAGGAGCTAGACGCGCCATTCTGGGAGCTGCCTTGGCTGTCTGGCTGACTTCCGAGCTGGGTACGACCTCAACTAAGCTCGATATCCACCGCCTCTCAAACACATCATTCCTCAACTTTCCAGGTCTTGAACAGATCATACTTTACTTGCTCAGTCTTCCGAATAGAGAATATCTGCCAACGACCACATCTTCAGTCACAATGGTCCGTTCTCACCATCAACTCATCCAAACCACTTAAAGGCCTATGTCCACCGTCTATCCAGACCAACCACCACTAACGTCTTGAAAACAGTCTCTCCGTCTCGCCCCTCCCTCGTCACACCCATCCCAAACAACCAACACATCAACCCATCACGTCCCCAACACCCAGACCTCAAAAGGCGCTCCCTCCGCTCCCGGTCTCCCCGACACCCTGCGTGACAACATCACTCTACAAGCCCCCCGCGGTGCCCCATCCACCCAACCGGCTACAGCAACCTCCACACACCCACTAGAAGCCCGCCTCCTCGCGTGGCGTCAAACCCAAGATGCACTGAAGATGGAGGGCCTTCGCCGCACATATGGGATTGCTGAGCCTGTCCGACGTGGTATGGAGCTGAAGATTGTTCGCGACGGTACATTCCGGCCTGCTGTGCTTGGTGGGAATAAGGGCGGGAATCTGCATGAGGACATCCTTGTTCTTGGGGGAAGAGATGCGGAAGTTGGCTGGGAGGATGTTTTCCAGGGTTTGTTACTCTCTTTTCTTCTTCTTTTTTTCTGTGAGGGTATTATAGAGGCTAATGGTTTTCCTCATGTAGGAGACGAATTCAAGGAACCACCTGCTTTCCACGATGAGATGGAGAAGCGGCTGCGGATGGATTAAATTAGTGGGTAGTTTTGAGGGGAAGGGGGTCTTTATGGATTGTTCCGTCGATAATTGAATCATCCATGCATCTTTTCACGTCATGACACATCAATACTACACGGTACGGAATCGAAAATAATGGATTCTGTTTACATTTGTAAAAAGCAGAAACGTGCGGGTAATAGATTAGATATGAAGTGTCCATGCCTACGCGAAACATACAACATCCTACTATACGCTCAGTGCTGTTTACGCAGCTATAAGTACAGATCTGAGCAAGACCATGGATTCAAACTATGCAGCTACTAGCTAGCACATGATAATACGATCTTTGACTGGATGCAGTCAGTGGGCACAGCTACAAGTTTCCTTACTTTAGATTGAAGTTGCTGCAAGAGCATCCATACTTGCCCACACCTAACTAGAGCTAACTAACCAGGCAGGAAAGTTGCGACCAGAAACTCCCAAGAGGCAGCATACATTGGCCCAAAGACCAGATGATAGATGAACATATCAGAAGAAAAAGAAGATAAATGAACTGGAAAAGGGAAGTCCCAGAAAGTAGGTAGGAAAAAAACATGTATGAAATTGCCCTGATGATAAAGCAGACAAGAACATAACACGGGATATATGATTTCAATCCAAGGGAAAAGAGAAAGGAAATGAAGAAATTGAGAAAAGTCTGCAGGGAAATGGGGTATATAGGGCGGTACTCAGGGATAAGGCAGTAGTGGTAGTACTGAAAACATGGTAAATGCGAATCCAGTCAAGCCAGCTCTGAGACCATGCCAAGAAAGGGATATGCGAGTAGGCCGACACACTGGAAAATAAAATCGGCAAAACGCTAGAAAGGAAGGTCAAAAGCCGTAACGCCATCCCAAGTTTCAATGAATAAGCGGCTGAGGCATGGCACCTCATATCAGAGAATCGAGGCGGAACCAAGCTCGGTGTTGATAGACAGGGAGAAGAACCCAAATACCGGAGGGATTGGATGGATGTGGCGCAGTAGAGACGGCAGATAGGTTGAACTGGTTGGCGCACCTCTGCCGGTATGCAGAGGTGATTGGGGGAGAAATGTCCTTGAAATCGGCCCTATCCCGGTGGGTAATGTGCAGAGTGCAGTCTACGGCTATGTGTACAAACGTCTCCGTTCTTCATTGGATAACACAGCGACACCGTGGGCTCCGTTCACTGGTGTCTCGATCGCGGGAGTACTGTGTCTTACCACCCTTGGCGTCCTCCTCGTCAACGACCTCCTGGGGTTTAACAGTCATATGCACTACATTGGGTGCGTCGCTGCTGAACTTGGAATCTGTATCCTATCATTAGCATGATGTTTGGCGTAACGGAGTATGGCGTCGCATACCTGAGAGGGGAGATTTATCGTCAAGTAGCTTTCCGAACGAGATTAGGCGGATAGAGCTAGGGGATGATGGGCGGGTTTCCCAATCTAAGAGGCATTGGTTAGCTGCACCCATATCACGTTTTCGCAAATCAAACCATACCTTCCTGCCATGACCTCCAGATTAACTCCTTCAAAGTGTAAACGCTCATAGCAAACGGATCATTATTATCCACAGTGATATCTCTTTTCCGTAAGTAGTTTGCATCGATTTTGATGGGGTATCGCGTGCCCGTTATTAACAGCAGGACGATTGTCAAGGAAGGTCCGGATTCTTCCGGCTCCGGCTCTTTGACTGATGCATCGGATGATAGCTCGGGCGCTGTTGCTGCTATCTTTTGCTCCTCTGTTCCTGGTGATACGGTGGCCAAAGGAACTGCCTCTGTATTACTCTGGTGTGAAGGGTTAGGTACGGAGACATCAAGATTGTCTGTGGTATTCGTATTCGAGGGGTCAGTCGCAGTACTTTCCTGCGGAGCGTCTGTAGACGGGGCAGACTTGATCGCACTGTCGTCCGCTTCGATAGCTGTGCTAAATACCGGTTGTGAGGGTTCGGGGGCGGCGGATATCGATTCAGCCGCACTTGTGGCAGGGTCTGGACCGTCCGCCTGCGCATGATCCTTTGAAGCCATAGTCTTGTTGTTCCTTCAAGCGGAGAATTCGCAACTACAATCGAAATGCTGACTGGCGTGGACAAGGTGATAAGCAGAATTGAAAACTGGCCAACGCTGCGGAGATGGGTTTGGGAGAGGAGGTGTTGCCAGGGCCGGCAGCGAAACCAGCGGGCGGATGAGAAACAGCGATCAGATCCTCAAGCAGGGAAAGAACGCCGACCGAATGGGGGCGAGATGACCCAAATCCAGAACCGAACTATGTGAGCGCTGTTCGGCGGATGATATTCAGGGCCATGCGATCGGGGAGACTCCAGTGAAGAAGAACCGCTCACAGGAGGCTGGGCGAGATGAAGCAGAGAGGGAGAGAGGTCTGAGGTTGAGACAGAGACGGAGACTGAGACAGGCTGGAGAGCGAGAGCCAAAAGGGAGGAGAACCTGGAAGGTCGGGGCGAGTGGAGCTGGGCACCAATCCCGTTCGGTCGCTGGCGGCCACTGGCCTCAATTTCGGTCTCCTGCTCACGACTGGGCTCGGGGTTCCAAGGTTGGTTCCGCCGATTTTTGTTCTAGATTTATCTCGAGGTTAAGTTCAACGGTTTTTTCTTGTTCTTGTAAGCAGGGCGAGGGCTGTAGCTACTGTAATCCCGACTGCAAGTGGTGACATGCTGAGATTGGCCGTGCTGCATGCAGATAGCCCGGAGACAGGTTTTATTTGCTGTTGATCGTCCTCCTACGCGGAGCCTCCAATAATAGCATGCGCCTGACATGACACTCGTTGGTATTTTCGTCAATATAAGAACATTAACAAATGGAGAGGAGCAGAGGTTTCCCTATTAATTGTGAACTATTCACGAGTGGACTATCGACCCCCTAATCTGAGTATGCCGACCCTGTGCTTGCAAGGTTATCCACCCTTCCACACATCACAAATTCGCAACAGCGTAACTAGTAATGTGGATAAGCTACTATATTTATTTTCCAGTGGTAGTGATCTATTGAATCAGGCCCCTCCTCGAACTCCAGTTTCGCGGTAGATATTCCGAATCTTGTAGTATATCGTACACGGCAAAGAGCCATCAAGCCGACGCCACATGGGCAGTGAACAGCAGTTCGAACACTCGAGCAATACCGCGCTCTCAGATATTTGACTCCACGGCTTCTCTCACCGGTCATTCATGGCTGGCCAATGCACCTGCCAGGGATTTGCATCTGTCTTCGGTAACTGACCTCGTCTTCCAATTGTTGTAGATGCCAATCAAGGCCTTGTTCTTCCTCTTCAATATGTCACTTTGCCTGCTTAGGTTTCGGTAAGCATAAAACTCCCAGCTGACCAAATAAGCAAGTATACAAGGGGGTGTGAGCTGCTTGGTTCGGCTGCTTGCAATGGCTCCGAAAGCCTCGCGAATTTCGAACTTGTTTGGGATATCTTTTCCTCTCAAAGTCTCAAGTCTCATGGCGCGAAGCTCGTTTCAGCCTCCCAAGCCTCAGCCAGGCTCTTGAGAAGACCTGAAGCTGATTTGGCCATCCTCTCGGTCTTTTCCCCCATGTCCCACGCGCGAGAGAGATGCTGCATCAGTGAGCATCGGGGTAAGGAATTTCGGGGTAATCCATCTGCAATTCTGTGGTCAGCGGTTAGCGCAAGCAACAAGTCACAAATCCAACCTTCTTGCATGAACAAAAGAGATATCTCCGATTCTCACGCACAGATGCCAAGGACAACTCGCATGCTATGCATGAGAACGCTGCTCCTGCCACGTTTGGAGGCAAAGTGCCTGAGCACGGTCATCGCCCCATCGAGGACCAATAGTGGCTGGCAAGATAAAAACAAACACGAATGTTTCTTTTCAGCTGGCAAGGACTGAGATCGTCTGACGACGTTGCAAAGTCCTGACCAGCCAGCATCCTGGTCAGGATGCTATCAATAATGCAGGATTCCGCCGTCTCGGGCAGGAGATGGGATTATCATTTGCTGATCAGATACAAGAATTCCCCGACTGTGCTATCCATCGGAAACATGGCCCATGCTAAGGGGCAGACTGGCTGCACTCCAGGCCGCCAGAAGTCAGAGCTGTCAGAATGTCACTATGGTCCTCTAACGACTCCCTCCATTTCACGGTGACGTCAGCGCCTTCTGCGATGGTGTCAAGGCCTGAGGCCATGATGACCGCATCGAGACCAGCGCGGATCCAACCTGCACAAGGGATAGCCTTATCTAGTAGTGTGGGGCAGCCTTGTCCGAGGTCGATGCCAAATTTGCCCCCTTGGGTGAATTTCTCCGCCAAATTCCAACCAACCACGGCTCCATAAACTCTCAATGACAAGAATTCGTTCAATCGCAGCAACGGCTCCCGCACGTGCTTAATATCAGGCCTATCAGACGATAATATGCAAATATATCAGATGGGCCCTCCCCGATGCCCTGGAAAGACTTGGAGTCCTATTGGCTGACTAGAAGGGCCCTGGTCCACCAACAACAAGGCGAATGATGACAAACAGCACTCCCTCTGGCCAAGACATCAATGCAGTGCCGAGAAGGTCGCGGCCATTGAAGTCTGCTGCCCTATCGGCTGGAAAGTTGTGTCATTCAGCGTTAATCAGACTTTTTGTGAACGAATTTTGGTGAACTGTTGGCTTGCGGATTGGGAATTTAATCCTCCTTTTGGCTGTTGCCTCTATCTCATAGCTTGCGAGAAAGTCCCATGCTACCGCACTCGCGACACTCCCCTCCTTCCTCTCTGCCTTATTCCTCTGGCAGATCGCGATAGAGCATTAGCTGCAGGCCCCGGTCATGTCGAGATAGCGCTAAATCACGCCAATTTTTTTTTCACCACGCCCGGTCGCTTTAGCACCCACGCGACCGTTAGTCGAATCCGTGCATTCAAAGATCGGTTTAAAATCTACCGGGTTCCCCTAGACCAGGTCGTTCCGTCGACACTATCATGCTCACTCACGGCCTCTCCTCTGCAGGATGAAGTTCGCCAAGTAAGCAGCCCCCTTGATTTCTCCTTACAGTCTTACATCCTGCATGGATGCACAGTGGCTGATCTCCCGACGATTGACAGAGAATTGGAGCACGAGCTGGTTCCAGAGTGGCGGGCCAAATATTTAGACTACAAGGTAAGGACATATCCAACTCGAATCAACTCGAGACCTGTTTGGTTCACATTTGTGTACTGTGGATTGGTTTGTTTTCTACCCCGCGGCTCTCGCAATACTGACTTTGTGCTCTCGGTTTCAGACTGGGAAAAAGAAAGTCAAAGCAATCGCGCGCGCCATCCAAAAAGCCAATCGCACTCCCAACCACTCTTCTATTCGGCGTCCCCCACCTGGACAAGGCGATCAATCGGATACACCACTTGGTTCGAACCGCTCCGCATCATTTCGTCGAGCAGAAAAACAAATCGAGGGGTCCGATGGAGAGTACAATCTCACAGTGAAGAGCCCCAGCCTTACTTCGCGGTCAACACCTGGTCAACGACATGAGCGGCAACCCCTACGCGTTCCTGGATCGCGATTTTCTGCCGTTGTTGGAAGCTATGGAAGCATACTTGCATCCCCACCGCAGCATCCGGGGACATCAGACGCAGCTTCACTCGAGTTACCTGACCCAGCAATAGATTATCACGATGATGCTCGTTCCCCGGAAAGACATACGGATTCTCGAATTGCTCCTAAGACGCCGTCTCCTGTCATGTCGCGACAGGGCACCAGTAGGGCTGTTTTCAAAGATCCGACATATCACAGCCCCCCGGCAAAACAGCATGTTGCGCCAAGTGGTGAATCCAAGAAAAGCGTGGCTTCAGGTTCTTCTAGTCGCCGGAATTCCCGTCTTTTGAAGCGCGTTCTATCGACAACCGAATCAGCAGAGAAGCTTGCAGAGACTGAGCAACGCACCGAAGTCGAGCGCAAACAAGATGAGTTCTTCGCTTTTCTCGACGGCGAATTGGCAAAGATTGAATCATTCTATCAAATGAAAGAACAAGAAGCTACTGCTCGTTTAAAGGTGCTGCGGGAGCAATTGCATACCATGAGAGATCAGCGGATACAAGAGGTTCTGCATGCGAGGAGATATCGAAATCGAGATGCTGAACCCAAACCGACTGAAACCCTGGGTGCATTTAACGGTCGCCTTTTTAAAGATGCCTTTACGGGGCGCCGCATTGGAAAGAACTCTAAGGCCCTGGCGGCCTTGGCTACACCAAGAGGCGGGCAAGCACAGGATTCTGATAGCATCGTTAGGCGGAGGGATTTCACACGTCAGCCGCCAGAACCGCAGCAACAACCAAAGTCCGAAGTCCCATATCGATCTGCAAAGAGGAAATTGAAATATGCGCTGCAAGAGTTCTACCGAGGCGTAGAGCTTCTGAAGGCTTATGCCTATCTTAATAGGACTGCCTTTCGGAAAATAAATAAGAAGTATGATAAGGTTGTCGATACACGCCCGTCAATGAGGTATATGGGCGACAAAGTCAACAGAGCTTGGTTCGTGCAAAGCGAGGTGACCGAAAATCTGTTGGCCACTGCGGAAGACCTGTATGCTCGCTATTTTGAGGGCGGCAAACGCAAGATTGCAGCGTCGAAACTGCGCCATACTATCAGAAAATCCGGTGATTACTCACCACATACTTTTCGCTGTGGTCTGCTTGCGATGGCTGGTATTCTATTTGGAATTCAAAGTCTTATTTACGCGAGTCAGCACCTTCGGGACGAGGACGCTACGATACGTACTCATACAAGTTATTTACTTCAGGTTAGTTTACAGATGTCGACCTTGTCTACCGAAACTAATATACTTACCACAACCAGATTTACGGAGGATACTTTTTGGTTGTTTTCCATTTTTTGCTATTTTGTTTAGATTGCATGGTCTGGGATAGGACCAAGATAAACTATGTTTTTGTTTTTGAATACGATACTAGACATGCTCTGGACTGGCGCCAGTTAACTGAGGTATGTTTCCTCGGCCGTTTGTCCCCTTTGCCGCACTGACTTTCAGATAGCTCCCTTGTTTCTTCTTGTTCATATTGGGCCTCTTCATGTGGCTCAACTTCCTGTCTATCAATGACATGTTTGTTTATTGGCCTGTCGTGCTTATAGGCTTGACTGTGATTGTGTTATTTTTGCCAGCACGCGTCTTATACCACCGAAGTCGAAAATGGTGGGCATATTCGAATGTGAGTCCAGCCTCCCAATCTGGTTTATTTTCAGTGCTAACCGAACTAGTGGCGTCTCCTGCTGGCAGGCTTATACCCCGTTGAGTTCCGGGACTTCTTCCTTGGTGACATGTACTGTTCCCAGACGTATGCAATGGGCGTGAGTGAACCGAGCCCCCCTTTTTTTTCATACGTCAAGTCATTGACCAGTTATAGAATATTTCGCTATTCTTTTGCCTCTACGCTAAGCACTGGGGCGATCCCCCAATGTGTAATTCGTCTCACTCACGACTACTGGGTTTCTTCACTACCCTTCCATCCATATGGAGAGCTTTTCAGTGTATCCGCCGTTATGTGGATACGAAGAATATTTTCCCACACATTTTGAACTTCGGCAAATACTTGTTCGGAGTACTATATTACGCAACATTGAGCATGTACCGCATCGAAAAAGTAACTCGGTTCCAGGCTCCTTTTATTACATTCGCGTTGTTGAACGCTGTCTATACTTCCGTGTGGGACTTGGCGATGGACTGGAGTTTAGGCAATGTCTATGCGAAACATCCCCTGCTGCGCGAAACCTTAGCATTTAGAAGGGTATGGGTTTACTACGTGGCCATGGTACTAGATGTTGTCGTTCGTTTCAATTGGATCTTCTACGCTATCTTCGCGCACGATCTGCAACATTCGGCCGTGCTCAGCTTTGTTGTCTCCTTCTCCGAGATCTGCCGACGTGGTATATGGACCATATTCCGAGTCGAAAACGAGCACTGCACAAACGTTATCCTCTTCCGCGCCTCCAGAGATGTTCCTCTACCCTATGAGGTGCCATCTACGGATGAGCAAGCCGAGCAACCGTCCGAACAGCCACAGGCTCAAGGCGCACAAGCTACTGTCTCGCCTTCGCCAGTAGGCGACGTCGAACAGGCAACTCCGTCAACGCCCGGTCGCCCACGAGCCCTCTCTCGCGTTGGGACTATGTTAGCATCTGCTCACGCGCAAGACTTTCAGCGGAAACGACCCCCCGTTGAAATGGGCGGAGCTACTGTTGCACACGGCGAAACGGATACTCCCGATGACACAAGCGACGAGGAAGACTCTGGCGACACTCGATCGTATAGGGATGCTGAGGATGCAATTGAGGAGGAGGTCCCATCAGACGGCACTCACTGAGATCAAATCAAGGTGTATAGATTATATCGCTGCGCGAATAACAGCTTCAGGACGGCCTATGATGCTATAATTTTATGCGTATAATTACGATTTAACTCTTAGATATGTGATTATATATCATTAATATGTTGACTTCTCGAATTTCCATCCTCACAAGACGACGCCCCGTAGATCTAAACCTCGTCGGGTAACATCACTGTGGGTCGGTAGATTGGGGCCATCTCTACCAAATGCTTTTCCAGATGCAATTCCGCCCACTTGACTGTTCTTGACTCGAGTCTCCTGCATCTTCGCACAATAAATGGCGTGCTCGGAGGTGCGATGCAATGGGATCCCCGACACAATTGATGCTAATCCAGACGTGGTTTGTCTTCCTACCGTTTCGGCTACCAATCGGCCCCTTGAGCTAATCGAATAAATTTACTTCCTCCCACACAAGGGCGGTTATGGTGTAAGTTGTGCTCCTGTATAGGCCAAATAATCAAGGCTCACCCAACCATCTAGATTATCATCTCCTTTCTCTTAACTGCCTGGTGGACCTTGGTCGTCGTTCTTGTAACGTTCAATTTCAGCGACTCGTTCCCCAGCGAAAAGAAAAACGACCTTGACCATGACATGGTTTACTGTGCAAGAAAACTCGAGAAGTATGCCGGACACCCACTGCGGTTCCTCGAGGGCCAAATATCCAGAGAAACTGTCCAGAAGATCACCTTGACCCTGAGTGACCAACAGCTCATCACGGGTACTTCTATCTTCATTGCGATATTCGCCCATATGTGCGACATCACGCAGTACCACTTCAAAATTGCCTACTATCTGGGTGCTGCCAGCTTCCTCACACACCAGGCTACAGTCATGATTGTCAGTGACTTGCTTAAGGACTTCCCCCTAAGGAGAGCATGGCGGATGCTCTGGGTCATGGCTATCTTTGCGTTTGTCTTTCTTAATAACTTGGTTGTTTATAGCCCAGACTTTCGCGACGACTCAGGACTCTCAGTGCTGTGTGTCTTTCCCCCCAAACTCAGCGTCATCTACTATCCTGGAGACAAGGTCCTGCTTATACTTACCTCGATTTTCTGGGCTTGGGGTCTCTCAGCCGTGGTGCGAGACCTATTCCCGGAGCTTCTGTCCTGTCTGCGCAAGCTATTTCGTCCATTGACGCCGATGCTGGAGAAGGCGTTCGGTATTATCTCCGGTCAAGGCATATACCTCTGGGCTCAGGAAAGAGAAAAAGCAGCCGACCCACAAAGCGCATCCAAATACATGTGGCGACTCCTGAGGGCAATCTTGTTCCCTCCCATCGTCCTCTCCTTCAGCTTCACGCAGCTTGTCTCTTCTACAGTTATAGACTTATTCAGAATCCTCACATCTCTGGTAGCAACCACGTTGGGCACCTCGCGTGGCAAAGAATCCGACGCCACGGTCGATGGAGACAACGTTTGGAATTTCGGGCAGATAATGTCGATATTCCTTCTTGCTTTGCCGCTTTTTCAAGCGCTTGAGCTTCTCTACGGTACGTTTTTCTATATAGTTATAGTCTGAACACATATGCGGAAATCTAACCCGATATATAGAGGGCTGGCACGCCAGGCCAAGGAAGGGTCAAGACATAGGCCTGGATGTTAATGATTCAACCGCGGACCTAAACCAGCCTACTATATCGGATAGAGATGTTTTTCAATTTTCTCGAGTCGTCACCCACGAAACATTCCGAGAAAACCCAGCGAGCACTGCAAGTAGTATTGTCGGCTTAAAAGAACGGCTCTATGGTAGTCTTGCTTTCCGGGTTTGGATGAGGTGCCTTGTCCTGGGGATAACCGGGGTAACGTGTCTGGTGTGTACTGGCTGGTTTGGGAAACAGGTTGTATTATGATATAATATATTATGAAGCAATTTACTCTTGAGAGTCCATCATTGTACACGCCTTGCTTCACGATATCACAGTTAGTGGACTGTGATTGGTCACAGAGGAGTAAGCGCCGCGTTATGTCACGTGATTGAAGACGTCACATGGCCGTCGCCCCCAGGCAGAACATCCCCATCTCTCCAACTGCTCAAGTCCAACAACAGATTCAGTATCTTTGTTTTTCGACCATCTTATACGACGCTCCATCTGTACATTCATTAATATCACCAACGAGATGGCGGCAAACGCCCGATATGAGCCGGCTCCTCAGCGAGACTCGTTTGAGGATCACCAATACTCCCAGGCCCCGCCGTCTTATCAGGCTACCGCGGAGCCTGCACCTCGCAGCGAAGATGACAACGTCCCGGATGACTTCAAGGTAAGCTCTGCCTGGCAACTATATGTTCGGCCTCAAACATGCTAACTCTGTCTTAGTTCGGCGGCACCGTCGCGGAGGGCACCCTGCCCGTCCGTATGCAGTTCATCCGCAAGGTCTATGCGATTCTGTGAGTATAGCCGCGCAGTCAGCATATGAAGAGTCATTTGTTAATAAGTTCGATTTGAACAGAACCGTCCAACTGCTCGCAACTGCTATTATGAGCTCCATATCTTTCTTCAGCGATAGCTACCGCGCCTGGATCCAGTCCAACGTCTGGGTCATGTTTGTGTCCCTCTTTGGCGCTCTCGGCCTTATGCTCGTAACGTTCTGGAAGCGCAAGAGTTATCCCACGAATCTCCTTTTCCTCTCTGGATTTACCCTTCTCGAGGCGTACGCCATCAGTGTGGTGACATCATTCTACGAATCCCGAATTGTGCTCCAGGCCCTCATCTTGACCCTGGGCTTGTTCGTGGGCCTCACACTTTTCGCATGCCAAACCAAGTACGATTTCACCAACTGGATGCCCTACCTCTTTGGTGCCCTCTGGTTCCTGATCCTGTTTGGATTCGTGGCCATGTTCGTTCCCCACAGCAGCACCATGGAGCTTGTCTACGGCGGCTTGGGTGCCCTGATCTTTTCAGGCTATATTCTGGTCGACACCCAGCTTATTATGCGCCACTACCATGTTGAGGAGGAGATTGCCGCCTCTATCTCCCTTTATCTTGATGTTCTCAACTTGTTCTTGTCTATCCTCCGGATCCTCAACAGCCAAAACAACAACTAGATAGGCTCGGAAGTGCCCATATGACTTATCAAAGAACGAGCGCTAAACCGGAACTTGGCCGTGGTGCGAGACCTATTCACCGAGCTTCTGTAATATTGAAGACCATACTATATACCTAAGCCCGTACTCTGCTTTCATTTCCTTTTTTAAGTCAATTCAGCTCTCAATTTCCGACTCCCATTATTTTGCTTGGAAACTATAGCCGAACGTTTTAATTCCATATCTCCATTCTTATCGTTGTCGTGGCTCATCGCTATTGTGAATGTCTTGAGAATGATATATCTTACATAGAAACAAATAAGCACACCTTACTTTTGGAAACCAGCTGCATATATTAATGAGGACCTCGGGACATAAACCGACCGAGTAGACAACAGTGCCAGTTCCCGGCCGAGATGTGTTGTCTTCCGCATATACACGTATGCACCTCTCACTACGTGATGCTGAGGTACCAACCAATGAAGATGGGGATCGTCGGCGTAAAGACCGAGCCACTGTCTATCCCACGCAGCCTGCAGAATTAAAAGGGAAATTTATGCGATTTCTCCGGTGGAGTTCATCCAATGCCCGGACTGGGTCCAGCCCAGCCCCATTCGGGTTCGGTACAGAAGTATACGCTTCATGCCGAATCTCGAAATGGCGGGCGAGATATCAAAGAAAAGAACATATTGAGAGACATGAACAGCCAGTAGAGTACCAATAGCCCTCACCGTAGATAATGCAGATAAACCCTCCACCCTGATACAGAGAAATGCCGTTTCTCGGGAACATGGAAGCCCAGTTGGAGCTTGGGACGACTTATATTCCGGACCCGTCAGTGTCCCACTCCCGCCCACCTTTCGACCTGGTCCCTACCCCGCGATCCATCGTCAGCTGCCGACACCGATTCAGGACACTCCAAGCACCGCCGTTTTTGTTGGTAGTCTCCTGGCGGTTCCGAAGATGGCCCATTAGGGGGACTGTAGGCGCTGTGGCACGGTATAAAGGTGTCCGAAGCACCCATCTTAAACCGGGTCATCCTAGATAACGGTATACAACACTGCGCACCTCTCGCTCATTCTGTATCAAAATGTCTTTCCCTGTGCAAGGCAAGACGGCTATTGTGACTGGCGCGGGCTCCGGTGCGTTGAATTTATTCATCTAGGGTTGTATGGTTCATGTACAATATACTAAGATGGTGTAGGCATAAACCTGAGCTTTGCGCAGCAGCTCCTTGAGAGCGGGTGTAATGTCCTCATTGCCGACCTGGGTCTCCGTCCTGAGGCGCAGGCCTTGGTCGATCAGTACGCCAGCAAATCACCCCGGGCAATCTTCCAGAAGACAGACGTGACTGTCTGGAAGCAGTTGGAGCAAATGTTCGAGATTGCGGAGAAGGAATTTGGTGAGATCGATATCGTTTGTCCCGGAGCGGGCGTTTACGAACCAGTACGTTCTTCTTCTCTACGAAGACTCTACAGCTCTACATACCTTGCACTCTGCAGCTAACTTACTCTCTTCTCGCGAAAAGCACTGGAGCAACTTCTGGCGACCCCCGGGTTCCGAACCAAGCCGCGATGCACAAGACAGTGACCGCTACGCCCTAATAGATATCAACCTCACACACCCAATCCGCACAACGCAGCTCGCCATCTCGCATTTCCTACGACACGGAACGGACAGCACCCGCCATAAGGCAATCGTGCACATCTCGAGTATAGCCGGACAAAACCCCTCGTTTGCAGCGCCAATCTACTCTGCCACGAAGCATGCGATCAGCGGGTTCGTGCGCTCGCTCGCCAATCTCGACGGCAGAAGCGGCATCCGCGTTACGGCTGTCGCACCCGGCGTGATCAAAACGCCGCTGTGGACGGACCACCCCGAGAAACTGAAGATGGTGGACGGTGGGAAGGATGCGTGGGTGACGGCTGATGAGGTTGCGACAGTGATGTTGGCGCTGGTGCAGCAGGACCGAGTGAGTGAGGTGATTGGGGATAAGGAGGCGAAGGAGGGAGACACAGTGTATCCGGTCAGCGGAGGGACGGTGTTGGAGGTTTCGAAGACAGTGAGATCTGTTCTGCCTTATAACGACCCTGGGCCTGGAACAAGACCGGGGAATACGGCGTCGACAACGGCGTCCGTGGAGAACGAGGCGTGGGAGCTGCTGTCGGCGAGCGGATGGGGAGCTTGGTAGATAACATCGAGATATTAGTGAGAATGCAGAGTCACGCTTCCGAATTCAAGTCCATAATTCGAAGGCCAAGTGAATAACTTGGCAGGGATGGTGCAATAAGCCCAGATTGATGGCCAAGAGACACGAGATCAATTGGAGGCCCAGGTCCGGATATTCTTGACTAATAAGTTGTGGATGGCGGCAATGCAACTCTGTCTTCCTGTTTCTGACTGACTTTCACTTCCTCCTCACTCACAATCTCCTTGCTGGACTTCACTCAGCCTTTTCTGCTGGATTTTTGAGGTGGCTAGTATGTCGGCCATCCTTGCTGACACCTAGTTGAGTTGGTTTAACTATCGCTCGTTCTCTTCCATCCATCCTTATCAGTTCCGCGGTCGCATTCCAACCTCCACCCTGCAACCACCACCGTTGTCATCTCGAAATCATGGACGATGAAGCTGGAATCGGGGCCGGCCCTGCTGGTTCCTTTCGATCGAACTCCGGAAGGTATAAATCCCGAATGATCTATCATGTTTGTATGGTGGTTGACAAGAGCTAGGCGCGGAGTCAGAGGCAAGCAAAATCCGGGGATACACCACCAAGCTAGTTGGATTAGCTGTGTGATTAATTTGGTGAATACAAGTGAGTATCTACCTGATTATCTCCCGTTTCTGTAACTGTTTCCTAATTGTACATGTTCGTGAAGTTGTTGGTGCCGGTGTCCTTGCCATGCCCCTCGCCATCTCGCACATGGGAATCGTCCTCGGTGTATTCGTGATATTATGGTCCGGTTTAACGGCAGGCCTTGGACTATACCTTCAGTCTAGATGTGCGCAGTATCTCGACAGAGGAAGTGCTTCGTTTTTCGCCCTCTCTCAAATCACCTATCCCAACGCCGCCGTTATTTTTGATGCCGCGATTGCGATCAAATGCTTTGGTGTCGGGGTCAGCTACCTCATCATTATCGGAGATTTGATGCCAGGAGTAATTCAGGGTTTTGTTGGGGGAGAGCCGGCGTACGATTTCTTGGTGGACCGTCATTTCTGGGTGACGGCGTTTATGTATGGAGTCACTAGTACATTGCTGGTATGGGGAGTATGCTGACCAAATAACAGGCTGATTATTATTCCCCTTTCGTATCTACGGCGTCTGGACTCGCTCAAATACACCAGCATCGCGGCTTTGGTCTCAATGGCCTATTTGGTGGTTTTGGTTGTTTATCACTTTATCATCGGAGACACGAAGGACGGCCGTGGTCCGATCCGTGTCATTCACTGGGCGGGGGCTGTTCCGACTCTTAGCAGCTTTCCAGTGATTGTGTTTGCTTTTACTTGTCATCAAAATGTAACGGTGTTCCTTGCTACCTGTTATGCCTCGTATATGCTAATCATGGTGCAGATGTTTTCTATTCTCAATGAAATCAGTAATAATAGCCACTTTAGAACGACCGCTGTCGTGTTCGCCAGTATCGGCAGCTCTGCTTCAACCTACATACTTGTTGCGATTACCGGATACCTATCATTTGGCAATAGCGTGGGCGGAAACATAGTGGGCATGTACCCACCAGGCTTATGGGCTAATATCGGACGTGCCGCTATCGTCATGCTCGTCATGTTCTCCTACCCCCTCCAATGTCACCCGTGCAGAGCATCAGTTGATGCAGTCCTACGTTGGAGGCCCAAACGTAGCACGGGTGGAAACGAAGGATCCCCTCATCGTCATCCTCTTCTACCCGGAGGCCCGAGAGGATCTCGAACGGCAGAACCAATGAGCGACCTCCGGTTCTCTATAATTACGACATCGATCCTCATTCTGAGCTACATTGTCGCCATGACAGTCTCGTCTCTTGAGGCCGTCCTCGCATACGTTGGCAGCACTGGAAGCACCAGCATCAGCTTCATTCTCCCCGGGATATTCTACTACAAAATTTCTGCTCCAGATTCAGCAGCACATCAACGCCTTCTGAAAGAGGATGATGAGGCTGAAGACGGTTATATCTCAGGTGCTAGCGAACCAGACGACGGTAACGCCCAGGCTCGCTCACTTACTGAGAGCGGAATTCTGCGTCGGCACACCCGCACATGGCGCAGGGAGGTTCTCCGTAAATTGAGCCTAGCACTTGCCATCTACGGAGTCATTGTCATGGTTACCTGTCTAGTCACGAATTCTGTGTTCATCGCATCTCACTAATTGCCACCCACTTGAGCCCTTAGACTAATTCCGTTTTTTCTATTCTTTCTACCCAGTCAACCCCTACGGTTTTTCTTCCTTCTTGTTCTTTTCTTTGGTGCATTTTTTTGCCTCTCTTTTATACCATGTTTCATATCCGTCGTTTATATAGATCCTGTCGCGTGTGCAGTATTCATCACAACGGCGTTGGGGATGTCATTTTATTCTCTCGATATGATTTTGCACGATCAGTTTCATTTGGAAAACCAGAGGAGTTTTATGATAATAGAGATTGAATTGATTTGCATACTTTCATTTTTTGTCTATGATCTAGCTATTGAGCCGCGGAGGTGTAGTCACGCCCTTTTTAACGGTCCAGGCCCTGCCGCGGGTCTGTTTTTCAAAGAAGATGTTAAAAATGGACCCCGAGGAAGGTGCAAGGCCAGTCTTATATCCAGCTGTGCGAACCCCTTAAGAGGGATGTATCGTTGCCCGTCTATGTCCGGGTCAGTTGCTGAGCCAATTCCTGGAAAACCATTGGGGAAACACGAGGACAATGAGAGATGTTGTAGAGTATAGATATAAATAATATGATTGTAGTGACACTCAACCCAGTGAGGATCCCGAAGTATAGCCCTAGATTTATGTAGTTGGTTTTGCTGCTGAGAGCAGTGATAGTACATCTATCCGTAAATTCATCTGCTAACCAAGTATCATCATCTTCAATCTTCAACTGCTGGCGAGACGTGATCGCGCAAGTATCGTGATGGCCATGCGCATTGTCGATCGTCGCATAGCCACAGCCGGGCAAGTCTGACAGGGGCGCGGGCTGAGTTCAACCAAGCCTTGCTCGGATGTCCACCATTCAAGGCTCTTGTTTTCAGAAAAAAGAGGATTTCGATGATGCGACAGGTATTTCTAGAGCTTTGGTTGGCTTCTCCATACTCCTCATTTGGTTTTCGATTCGTCTGTTGGGGACCCGTTCGCGACTAGTGATAGAAAATATATAAACCCGCCGGTCCCCAATTCACTTTGAACGCCAGAGCCGGACAAGCAGAACCTGACCAAGCAAAAAAAACCAAAAAGAATATATTCCTTTATTGAAACGAAATATTGACCATTCCCGCCTCTCTTCGGCCATTTCTAAGCTGTTATCTCTCATCCTTTACCTACATTCTATAACACCTCCAAACCAAACCAAACCACAACAATACCTCTTAAACAGCATTACTATCCAAACTCGCACAGCACCCTGAAAAGCAAAATGTGCGTCTGCGACACCAAAAGCACCGAAATCTGGGAACCTCCCAAACCGGTCAACATCCCCAACTTCATCCACAACGGCGGCCGCTACAAGAGGCCATCAACGGTGCAACGGTGGGAAAACCGTTGGAACGGGATCGGCAATGGGCCTGGAGGAAAACGGATGTATGGACGTGGTGGAAGAAACAGCATTTTTTACGGAGCTGGTGCAGGCAGCAGTTTGATTGACGGAGCTGGTGCAAGCAGCAGCGTCGGTTGTAGTGGGCTCGGAGGAGGAGGAGCAGGAGCAGGCTGTGGTGGGGGATCATGCTAGATTGCCTGTCTTGCTTTTAAAGGGAGAAAGTGTCTACTTATGGCACTGGGCATTGATGGGATATGAACGACGATATGATTTATGACTGTTCTCCATGGTTTTGGGATATTTTTCACCCCCTTTAGAGGGCTGCGTTTTAGTATAGTGCTAGTTTATGGGGTGTATAGAATGTCGACCACGTTCCAACGCGGTTCTCAGATTATGCTTAAGTAGGACAGTGTAAATCCACCCAAGTAAATAGTACGTAGTTCTTAGTTCCAGGCTTAGTATAATGAACAGGATGAGGAGACCAAGACCCTCGCCTTTAGCATGTCAAAAACTGGGCCGGCCCACAACTCACAACCCCCCGATAGCATAGTTGGTTTAATGCGCTCGACTGTAATGGATAACATTAATCGAGAGATCCGCGGCTCGAATCCGCGTCGGGGGAGATTGAGTTCTTTTTTTTTTTTTTCTTCCCCTTCCCATCTTAAACATCGTCAATCCGTATGTAAAGGTACTCGTAGTATAGAGACCCGATTCAGCTAGATTGACGGCCGCCTTAAGGTTTGAAACCTTGCATATTTTTCGGTCCAATAGCGACCTTAGAATTTCCGATACTCTCCCACGGTTGACGCTGGATTCTGACCATTTTGCCGTCCTTGTGGTGGCGATCAGGGCGGAGTTCCATATTAGGAAATCGGCCCGCTTTCTGAATACGGATTCCCGACAAATCTACTCCGCATATCCCACAGGTATAAATAAATCGCAGTCGTCGGTGGGACTGGGGAAAAAGAGACAAATCTGTGTCTTGTTGAATTATTCCATACCTATTGCAAGATGTCCTTATCAAAAATTCTTGCGCGATCGAGTGTGCGGGCGGCTTCTACATCCACCGCTGCTCAAACCACCAAGGCTGCGGGGGATATCTCGAGTGTCTTCCCCAGCTTGCGACCGGATTATAAGCCGGAGCCGCTGCCTCCTAGATTTAAGGATCTGAAAGAGAAACTGTTCCGTGAGAACGGGGACGCATTGAAGAAGAGTTGGGAGAGACTGCTTCCCAGCCTGGAAGAGGAAGTACAGAAAATCAAGGCGAAAGGGAGCGATGTAAGTCTTATTAGATTGATTTAGTCTACTGAGATTAATGATTTTAGATTATCCCGTCTGTGGAGTACTCTGATGTTGTTTCCGGAAATGTATCTCAGGAGAGTCTGGCAGAGATCCGTCATCGCGGATCAGTCGTGATTCGAAATGTGGTGCCGCGCAAAGAAGCGCGGGGGTGGAAGGAGAGAGTTGAGGACTACGTAGCTGCCAACCAGGAAAGAGTCAAGGCATTCCCCCCAGACTCACCGGCGGTGTTTGAGCTATACTGGACGCCGTCACAGGCAGAGGCTCGAGCCCACTCCAACGTGCTAGACACACAGCGCTTCCTGCAATGTCTGTGGCATTCCTCAGATCCAAACACCCGTATATCGACACGGAACCCTCTCACATATGCAGACAGACTGCGAATCCGACAACCAGGCGATGGCAAATTTACTCTAGGCCCTCACGTGGATGGCGGCTCTCTGGAGCGCTGGGAAGACCCTGAGTACGCGAGGGTGTACGCCAAAATCCTCGAAGGAAAATGGGAAGAGCACGATCCATGGGATGCGAAGCACCGCGTTACTGCACAGATGGACCTATATAACGGCGCAGGAGCATGCTCCATGTTGAGATTCTTCCAAGGCTGGCTCTCCATGTCCAAGACAGCACCAGGAGAAGGCTCACTGCATGTTTGCCCCATGCTGACGCATAGCTCTGCGTACACCATCCTCAGACCATTCTTCAACAGCGAGACGATGCAGCCGACGATAGATAATATCTTCCCGGGATCTGTTCCAGGTGCTTGCCAGGAATATAACCCCATCACTCACCCGCATCTCGACTTAGAAACGACCATGGTGTCTGTTCCAGAGGTTGAGCCCGGCGACTATGTTGCCTGGCACTGCGACTCATTACATTCGGTAGACAAAGAGCACCGCGGCAAGAGCGATTCCAGTGTTCTCTACATTCCTGCTACCCCAATGTGCGATATGAACGTTGATTATCTGCTTAAGCAGCGGAAAGCAGCGCTTGATTACTCCCCGCCATGGGACTTCCCTGGAGCAGGTGGACCAGGCGAGAGAAATTTTGAAGGAGCTCTGGACTGGAAATCGCTCAGGCCTGAGGGCCAGCGCGCCATGGGATTGGGATCACAGCCCTGGGAGATCACAGCCGACATGACCGAAGGAGAGAAACAGGCCGTTGAGAAGGCGAACAAAGCGTGTTTTGCATAGAAGATTTGAGTTTCGAGTTTTTCAAGATAGGATATTAGCGTCAATAAAAGACTATCGTATCGTTATTTTGCGCAAACAATTCGGGTGAGGTAATCATGTAGACAGACGGATAGTTAACTGTTGGTTGGATGAAGCTAAAGCTGTGAGGCTCCAGCGCCGCCGGAATTCCCCAGTCTCCCTCCACTTCCGCAACATTCACCTTCCACCTCACAACGAAACCTCCCCTCAATGACCTCGCCGCAGCAAAGCTCATAATAATGTGGCTGCAGGCGACGCTTCTTCTGGTCGCCTCTTGTGTCCCCTCGGCGCTCGCAATTTACCCTGACGAGGTCGGCCATATCGATTTCCACCATGCGCTGCTAGGTGTCCCGTCGTCCCAATCGACCTTTTTCCACCGCCCATCTTCCTCCTCCAGCGCTGCCCTTCTCTACACAGTATCGGAGAAATCGCTTCTTGGTGCCGTCAACCCAAAAGATGGACAATTGTTGTGGAGGCAGAACCTGTCTCGCTCCGATGTAGCTCCCGGCCAGAATGCCCAAGGCTTGCTGCGGGCCTCGAGTGGAACAAACGCGGTCGTTAGTGGATTGGGAGACTATGTTTCTGCTTGGAGCGCCTTGGATGGGAAATTAATATGGGAAAATTCGTCCCCGAATATGCCTGTTGTGGATCTTGAGCTCTTAGAGCTCGAAGATGCCAGCGGCGCTTCGTCAGACAGGGACGCAATTGTGCTTTCTGGAGGCCAAGCGGGAACGATTAAAAGGCTGGATGGCTCGACTGGTGACATTAAATGGGAGCATCATGATGAAAGGTTTGTTGCTTCTATATGGCCACCGTTGTGATGAAAGAAAACTAACGGATTTTGATGGATTAGCGGCGATTTCCCCTTCCAGGTGTCCTCCTCCTCGACCAACATCTTCTACATCTCTCTACAGCCGGGTTTGCTGAAGGGTCACAAAATCCGGGTTACCTCACTGGATCTCCTGACCGGTCGCCAGACGCACCAGCAGGTACTCAACTCTGATAGCGATATTTCCGGACCGGAGTCGGTGCTCTTCGTGGGTGCCAACAACGCGTTCCCTGTTATCGCCTGGGCGGATAAGGCAAACAAGACGCTCAAGGTCAATGTAATTGGCACTAAGCAAGTGACATCGGTCAATATCGACAACACTAGTGGAGAGGAAATCAGGTCCATCCAAGTTCACGCGCCGGAGACCCTCAATGCGCTACCCCACTTCCTTGTGCAGTACGAGACTGCGTCCGGTTCTTGGGCTGAGGTTTATCACGTTGACCTCAAATCTTCGACCGTGTCAAAGGCCTACAGCCTGCCGTTTTTGAAGGGATGGTCTGCTTTCGCCACCAGCACCAAGGATGCCAATGTCTATTTCACTCGGATCACCGACTCTGAGACAGCTGTTGTGTCTTCTGCTTCTCACGGTGTTCTCGGAAGATGGCCTCAGAACCCTCCCTTGGATCACACCGTTCATGCGGTTGCGGAGGTAGCTACGAAGGGTGACAGTGATACCGTGGCTGTTCGCTCGGCCATTGTGTTGGAATCTGGTGATTGGCAAATGGTTCAGAATGGCGCGATCGGGTGGCTCCGACCTGAAGCGCTGTCTGGTGCATTGGCCGCCACCTGGGCCAACGTGGACAGCCAGCAGGATTTGGCCCACCAACTCGAAGTCGAAGGTCATGAAAGTCTTCTCAAGGCGTATACACACCGTGTGAAGCGCCATGTAAATGACCTCCAGCATCTTCCCAACTGGTTGAGAGAGCTGCCTAAGCGTGTCCTCACTAGCTTGCTTGCCGATGAAGTTTCCAACCTTGACAGCTTTGGCGTCTCCAAGCCCGTCTTAATCGCCACTAAAAATGGGCGGGTATATGCTCTAGACAGCGGAAATCACGGCAAAGTGTCCTGGAACGTGAAGGCTGCTGAGGCGGATACTTGGAATGTCAAGTTGATTCGGACTCAGCCTGGGTCTGCTACAGTGTATGTTGACGATGGTAGCACTGTTACCTTGAATGTCACTACAGGAGATATAATCCAGCGTGGCCCTGCCACAGGGAAGTTCTCTTCGGTTGTCCCTGAAGATGAGGCCTCGGAAAATGTATACACTGTGACCCAGGATGACGATGGGAAGATTCTCGGATGGAACTCAAGGGACCCCAAGTTGCCCGTATGGGTATTCCAACCCGCACCAGGCGAGAAGATCATTCGCGCCACTGCTCGCCCACCTCACGACCCAGTTGCCTCAATCGGAACGGTCCTGGGAAACCGATCCGTTCTGTACAAGTACCTGACTCCTAACGCGGCTCTCGTCACAGCTATTGGGGAGAACTCAGCCACTGTCTACCTGTTAGACGCAGTTACCGGCCGAATTCTCCACACGAGCAAGCATCAGGGAGTTGACACCGCGCAGCCTATCGCCTCTGCAATTTCAGAGAACTGGTTCGCATACTCCTTCTATGCCGAAAGCTCCGAACCCTCCGAACCCAGGGGCTACCAATTGGTCATATCGGAGATGTTCGAATCTCCCATTCCTAACGACCGCGGTCCTTTGGGCTCCGCGTCCAACTACTCCACGCTTATTGACTTGCACCTTCCTCACGTCATCTCCCAATCTTATATGATCGCAGAACCCATATCGCACATGGCCGTCTCCCAAACCCGCCAGGGCATCACCACCCGCCAACTCCTAGCTACCCTCCCAGAGTCCAATGCCATAGTCGGCATCCCTCGCCCTATCCTGGACCCCCGTCGCCCCGTTGGCCGAGACCCCACCGCCAATGAAGCCGAGGAGGGCTTGAGGAAGTACACCCCCTTCCTCGAATTTGACGGAAGATGGTACCTCACGCACGCGCGCCAGGTCGCAGGAATCAGCACCGTTCTGTCTTCACCCACACTCCTCGAAAGTACGTCTCTGGTTTTCGCCTTTGGAAACGATATCTTTGCCACGAGGAATATGCCCAGCCAGGCGTTCGATATTTTAGGCAAGGGATTCTCGAAGTTGCAGTTGCTTTTCACGATTGTGGCTTTGGCTGTCGGTGTTTCGATTTTGGCCCCGATTGTATGTCACCCCCTCCCCAGTCCCCAAGCCCCTTTTATACTACTATTTGGCCGGTTTCTAATATTTTATTCACTAGGCCCGCAAGAAAAAGGTCGATATGCTTTGGAAGACGCGGTAGAAGAGGAGAAAAAGGGATATAGATGCAGCGTAGTCTTTTCCGATCGACATGGTTGTATAATTTACTGTTTTCATGAGATGATGTATTCGTTATAATTAACAACTAGGATTGCCCGAGCGTATTATTCCCACGTACCGCGGCATCCATATAGATAGTAGTTATCAGATACAAGGGTATCCGACAAGGTAAATCATTCGTCTATACTAATTTTTCACCTAATCTTACTGTCCCCGAATCAAACACCGCTTCCCTACCGGCGCGAGCAAGAACCACGCCACCTGATCCATCTCCTCGGCCCTCATATCCCCATGAACCTTTGCCTCAGGGAAAGCCCTGAAGAATCTCGCCGTCGCAAGCCTCAACTCCATCCTCGCAAGATGCACGCCTAGACAAGTCCTTGCCCCGCCGCCAAAAGGCATGAATGCGTCCTTCATCTCCCGCGTTGGATTGTCCCACCTACCAGGCTGAAATTCGAGCGGATTGGGGTAAATCGATTCCTCGCGGTGTAGTGTGTACGCTTGTGTTGTTACAATTGTGTTCGCGGGGATGGGATGTGTTGCTAGTGTTGTGGGTGTGTTTGATACGCGGGGGAGGGCGGAGGGGACGGCCGAGTATAGCCGGAGAGTCTCGTTAATGGTATTGTTGAGATGCGGGAGGGGCTTGAGGTCGTTGTCTGTGAAGTCCTCAGGGAGGGATGAGAGTTCGGTGACGAGGTTGGATAGGAGGTGGGCGTTGGCGGGCTGTGAGAGGGTCCAGACTAGGTAGGTGAGGGTGTTTGCGGTTGTGTCGCTGCCGGCGACGATGAAGGTGATTGCTTCGTCGAGGATGGCTTTGTCTGGGAGGGAGTCTTCTTCTTCAGCACCGGTTTTGCTATTGCTGGATTGGAGTTGGAAGAGGCGCGTGAAGAGGGTTTGTTTCATTGGCTCTGCTGTCGGGGAGGAGAGAGATCTGGAGAGAAGCGCCTTGTATCGCTCGATGGACTCGACGGCATACTTTCCTAGTCTAGCGCCTGCCTGTGCCGCTTCCTGAATGTACGGTATGGGAAAGGGGATCGAGCCTGCTAGACTGATGAGGCCGGGGAAAGCAACCTTGACAGCTTCGGTGGCGGCAACGGCAGTCAGGTCGTGAGAGTACTGGTTGTTACGGCCGTACTCGAGCATGCGGAATGAATCGCCGAAGCAAAGCTCGCCGATGATATCCGTCGTCATAAATATCCACCACTGGAAGACATCGACAGCGCCAGAGGGTGCCGTCTTCATCTCCGCGCGCATCTTCTCAATCGCAAGTTTAACACGGGCGTCGATAAGGGCCTCGGATTTGTGTAGCTCGGTGTCGGACGCGGGGCTCGAGAAGAGCCTGCGTCGTGCGCCGTGGAATTTGACGTCCGAGGTGTTGAACAGGTTCTCCATGTCTGGGCTGGTGAGGTTGCGATAGAACGTGTACGGCTTAGTGAAGGGAGTACCGATGCGGTGGATCTCTTTAACGGCGGCCAGATCGCAGACGTCGACTTCGTCCGGGCTGATACGCACGATGGGGCCGTAGCGCTCATGAAGGGCGTGGACGTACTTCATGCGGTTGCCGACGAGCCAGTGGTATTTCAAAACGAGGTCTGTCCATTTTGCGATTGCTGGGCCGGGGATCGAGGTGAGAGGGTCGTTTTGCCAGCGGCTGAAGAGCTGGAACCTGGTCAGTATAGAGATACATGTGTTATGGTTGAGAGGGCTGACGCACGACTATCACGCCCAAGGCGAGTGGGAGGGATAATAGGAGGAAGGCCATGAGCTATGTTGGTCTTTCCCCCTTAGCCCGCGGTCCCAGACCAAAGGAGGCCGAGAGGCGTGCATTGTTATACTCTGGAAACTGAGGTCGTAAGAAGTGGGGCGCAAAGGGCATCCTCTCCCGTCAGTTAATATGGATGGACTGCACACTGAGCCGACGTGAGGGTCGCTGATTCGGGGACTGAGAGTACGAGAGTGCGAGCAAACCGGCTCCAGCCGCCTGTCGTGGCTCATGCAGCAGCACCGTGCAGGATTTCAACGGTCAAAGATCTCGTATATTTCTCGGATCGAGAGCTGGTGGGACCGTCGGTTATGCTTACTGTAACTGCGAGCCAATGAGAGCAGCAGAATTGGAACTGACCTGATTCTTCTTCCTTGTGGCTGAAACGAACAACCGACCTCCGATTTGGCGTCTCGGTGGGAACTTCTTGCACGTCTGCTGAGATTCCGAAGGACTTGATTTAGGTTGTTCCCAAAGATTCTCTTGATTACGACGGACGATTGAAATGAAGCACTTGACGGAAATAGATTCATCGGCTTAAGCTCAACCTAAAACACCTTTTCCCTTCCCACAAGAATCGCAAGTAATGCTGTACTGTATGGACATGATATCAATCTGGAAAAGGAAGCGAGATCCTCAGCGCCGGGACTATGCTCACAACTCAATGGACGAAGCGGCTGCAGTAATAAACAAAAAGAGATGAACGACAATGTCTGTTGGAAAGGAGGGTAGAGATCTATGTCTAAAATGCAGGATTTCATGTGCCAAAGACCCCCCAAAAAAAGATGGAAAAAAAAAAAAAAAATAACAGAAAAGAAAAAAGCTAGAGATGGGAAGTGATATATCGCGGCAAGATCATAAAAACTTAGGAAAAGAAACAGTGTATGCAGTGGAAAAACAGACAAACGGTCAAAATGAGAGATAAGATGGTTAATCAAGGAATGTTTCAGTAGTAGGACGCATTGGCATTGCCAAAGTGGCCCTGCTGCGGATTGTATTGGTTCGCCTGATAAGGCAGAGGGCCTGCTTGTGGAGGCTGGGGGGCGAACTGGCTCGCATACCAAGACTGACGTCGAGGTTCCTCCGGTCGGTAGGTTTGGTTCAAAGCGTCCCATGTGTGGCTTGCTCCTGGCATGTTGTAGAAGCTGCCAGGCCCGGCCTGGACACCGTACGAATGGGGAGGGGTCGCTGCCAACTGCTGTTGGGGTTGCGGTGGTTGCTGTTGCCAGTGATGTTGGCGTTGAGCAATAGCATGCTGCACCATCTGGTTGGACATGCCCTCTTTCATCAACCTCCTCTCCTGCTCCCGAGCATCAATTGCCCCAACCAAGCCCATCGGATTCACAGGCGGTGGTGTCTTTTGTTTATCGCCAGATAGATTGAAGAACGAGGACCCGGTCATGCGGGCTACATGCTCCTGTTCGCGGGCCGAAAGATGCGATGAGACATCATTGTAGTTCATCATGTTGTTGGCGCCGCGAGACCTGGGCCGAGGGACGGCATCTTGATTAAGACCCAATTGTGATTTTGGCCTCGAATAAGTAGTCCAATCACCAGAAACGGGCCGAGGGCCTGGTGTTATTGTTGCACTAGAGGGCGTACGAGCGTGCGCATGGACCGGAGGACTGGGAGCCGCTCGTTGCTGCACGTATTGCTCAGGCGTGAGACCACCACCGGGGGTTACCGGACGTGGAGCTGCCATCCCTGGCTGCCACAATACACTCCGCCGATAGTCGTCTCGGTTTGGTGATCTGGAATGATTGCGGTCCGCCTCGTGTACAGGTAGTGAGTACCGCTGCTTTTCCGTGACACCGGGCTCACCTCTATCAAACTTCTTCAGCGTGTCTGACGTACTCGGGCGTCCAGTAGTCGGCAGGTAGTTCAAAGTTGGCCCAAAGTCAATTGTGGGGATGTCTGGATTAGGCTTTGGTTTGTCCTCCATAGCATAACGCGCATCTCCGATAACAACGTCCTTTGGCTGAGGCTCCGTTCCCACGGTTTTCTTCACTCCCATCCTAGGCCTCGGTACCGACTTAACAGAGTTCTTGCTATATAGTGATCCTTTGGTGCTGGCGTAGTCAGGAGATGTCGTGGACTCATCATCACCGTAGACACTTTCTTCCTCTGGCTGTATTGGCCTTCTGGGTGCAGAAAAAGTGGGGCGGCTGACGATGCCAACCATGTCCAATGCATCTTCATCGACGGTATGGCGGAGATCATCGAAACTAGGCTCACCAACGGAACTTTGCGGGCTGACTACCTGGGTCTGCGTTGGTGTTCGGCTGATAGGCTTCCGTTTGACGGCCTTTTCGGTATCAACTCGGATGCTCTGGGTGCTAAATCTGTTCACCTTGGGAGATGGCTTGGGGGATTCCTGCGGGGATGGTTTATAGGACGTCGGGGCACCGCTGACGCCGAAGTTATGCTCGGGTACGGGCGGAGCCTGTTCCGTCGCTTCAGGTTGGTGGGTAGCCAGGCTACCGGAAGCTGGGGCAAAACGACGAGCATCAGTATTTGCCTGTGACGAGGTTGGCGATACAGGACTGTTATTAGCGTAGTTGCAGCTGTTTTGACTTCCTGACGTTGGAGGTCTGTCCGCTAAGTTCATACCGCCGGATGCAGCGACGAGTTGTGCGAGAGTAGCATCAGACATGCGTACGTTGGCTCTCCGTGCGTCTGATGATGGCCGTGGTCTGGCAGGAGGCGCGTCTCTAGGGTCGTGAGTCAGGGTCGGGGGTGGCGCAAGATCAGTATGGGATACTGGAGATGTGAGCTGTTGAGCAAACGGTACTTGTGCCGGCTCCTCTTCAGCTTCATCAATCCGATTGTCCTCGGAGCTAGTTCGGCCATGGGAGCTCCCGGCAATGGGGCTTTGAGTCAAATCATGTGTGGAAGACGCTGCAGAGTTCTCCACCATCGCGGGCCTTCGAGGGGGCTGGGGGCCAAATCTCGTTGTGTCGGACACGCTTCGCGAGTGTGGCGATGGTGTAAACGGCTCCTCTTTAGGAACCTGCTGGACCACAGCATCCACCGACTGGTTGAACGCAGGAACGTAACCCGGCAAGCCTCCCTTACGACTTGACGCCGCTGCGGGGACGTTACTGTATCTAGTCGGGAGACTAGCACGGAAGCGAGGCTTGTGTGTGGTGATGCTGCTTGTCCTGCTGCTGACATTTGCCATTCGACGTGCGGTTGCATCCTTGAGCTGCCTTCTCCACTCCGCCTCACTCCAGTTCTGAGAACCAGGAGTCCGCATGAGATTCGCGATATCCATCAGATCAACGTAGTCATACCGTTCCTGGTCCGGAAAAGCGAACATAATACTCTTAACGTGGTTTACTGCGGCGATAAGACGGTTCGGGCGTCCGTAGAGGTTGAAGGTATCAAAGGTTGGTATCAAGAATTGGAGCATCATCTCGAACCCACTCACAGCGGGATGGACTTCCGGCATTACAAAAACAAACCCTTCCATTTTAGCCTCCGATTGCGAGTGTAAGATGAAGTTCCCCTCGATTTTGATCAGAGTCGACTGATCGATCAAAGCCTTCGATTGGGGGTAGATGGCGTATGCACAATATGCATCGGTAATTGTCGCCAAAGGTTTCACCTTCTTCGTCTTCTTCGTCTCATAGAACTTGATGCTTCCTATTACCAGCCTTGGCGCACGGTCATACGCTGATTTCTTCTTCATAGTCTTCCTTGCCCTTTGCAGCTCTTTCTCATCTGGTGGCGTGATCACAAACCAGCAACGCCTCCAGGGGGTTCCAGCCCCGAATCTCACACGGGCCCAATCTTCATGCTTGAATCGGGTGGGCTCCAAAATCATTCGGATATTGTTCAATTCTCTGCCCTTTGCGGCAATGATAGAACCGGTGTATGCTTCGTAGAGACAAGTGTGTTCATATATGGCGAGGCGAATTGCGGAGGCCCATTGGATCAAGGAGTCATAGGAGTCGAAATGAAGAAGATAACGGTTTTGACCGGCAGACGAGACGCTCAAGACGTTTTGGAGAGATTGTGCTCCAGCCTGGTTTTGTGTGGGAAGCGTTTCAATCTGTTACTGTTGTCAGAGCGGAAATATCAAGAGGAAGGGTTCTACCAAATCGTACCGATTTGACTGACGCATCAGCGAGGTTAACGAATGTTGGAGACACGTCTGCTGGATCGGCTGCTGCGTCCAGCGCAGCGGCATCCCATAAGGATAAGACTGTTCCGACAAGTTGAGCATAACACTCCACCCATTGTCGCTCAGCACATGGACGACCATCTATGCAGGGGAAAGAAAAAGGGTTAATCGGTCTGCGGGAGCCTTCGGTACAGGATATGAGAACCTACTCGTATCCAAATCATTCAGCTTCAGAAAATATCCCTCGAAGTACAGTTTGTTCGCATGGCTGTTCATATACGAAAAGATGCGCTGCAGTTCGGCAGGAGTGTCCTCCGCTAATTGCATAAGCGGAGGTTTGGTTGTAAAGAGCGTCGAGCCCGGCCGCGACATGCGCCGTTCGGCTTTTGACGGAGAGCCATCGTGCGGAGAAGGTGTATCTGGAGAAGGTGTATCGAACCTTGATGGAGGAGCATTGTACGACGATGAAGTCGGTCGTCCACCCCCATCCGGGCTTGTTTTCCGGGACTGTCCTCCAAAGGCTGATAGAAACGAGAGCACTACAAACGCAAGGGATATCAGCGACATTCTCTAAAGTGGAGTTAATCCCACCAGATCGACAAAACTTACCGCGAGAGCGAACCATGATTGCAATGGTAGATTATCAGACGATAAGAAGACCAGCTTCTGCGTATGTTCCTTCCTTAAACCTTCAATTAAGAAGAGAGAAAACGAGCGAGCGTCGGCGAGACGAAGAACGGGAGGGGCGGGGAAATCGACTGATGGTGTTTGGGCTCCGGGATCTCCGCGCGGAGGCAGCAACAGAGTGTCAGGACGCAATACCCGCCAACAACGACCTTCAGGCTTGCACAACCAGTTCCATGAAGCGACGGCGAAGAGACGGTGTGTGGAGGAGGAGCGAATGATACAGAGAGAAAGTTAGGCTGGGCAGTCAGCCAAGTTGAATTGGCTCTTGGGTGGATGGCGCAAGATCGAAGTAGTCGTCAGCGCCTGACCAGATCCGAGTCAGTCGGACACTAACAAGATAGTCCGGGAGCTTGGGAAAGGTCGATGTGGCGGGGAGGGAGGGAGGCGAGAGCCAGACAGGATGGGGAAGAAAGAGGAAGGGAAAAGAACGGAGACCAGGAAAGACGAACAGTGACACAATAAGCAAGCAAGATGAAAAGAACACGAGGTTGGACTGTGAGACAGCGAAACGGGCTCCGGGCGGAGGTCGAGATGATGCGCCGTGGGTCCAAGATGTGCAGTGCAGGTGGATTGGCACAACGAGTGTCACCGTTCTTTTTGCTAGAGTCTCAGCCACAGCCTGGAGCTGAACAGTGAGCAGCCAACAGTGAGCAGCCAGCAGACTCAGAGTGACCGTTGGGCGACCAGTGGGCGATCAGGAGATGGTTCCAGCACAATGCCTTCAATAATAAAATCTGGATACGGGGGCAAGGATCCCCTGGTGGCCACCGGATAAAAATAAAACATTCAATTCTTTCTGGGGAGTGCGTCATCATGTGGCTCAACCAGACATCGCCTATACCTGTCCAAGACCAGACTACCAGCCCGCTCCTTGGGGCATGGTTCCAGATCGTCGATGCAGCTGCAACTGATCCCAGATGGGCGGCGTCTGCAGGTGATTAATGTTTTTAGTGGTTGTGTTCTACCGGACTGTCTTCATCGCACACCAGCGTTCTTGACTTTTTGCAGTTCTACGAAATTCCCTCCGCCAAATATAGTAACACAAGCCCTGCATGTCTTACTCGATTGCTCCTCGCCTGCCCTACCAGCTTCCCCCTTTCTATCATTTCCCATTTTCCCTTGGCCTCCCCCAAAGAGCGGCGACCGAGACAATCTGGCCAATATGAACCGTGCCAAGGTCCCCTAACCCCTCACCGGGGGCTGCCCATTCAATGGAGACTTCATGGTGGAAGACCGCGCCAACCCGACTGGCCACTCGGACGAATTATTGTCACTGGCCGCGAATAGTTTTTTTTTCTGGAATTTGTCTGCCTAGGATTTGCTGCACCGCTCTTGAGTCCTGGGTTAGGAGTCCTGACCGTCGATAATAAACTATTTGTCTCCTTTTAAGGATCCGACTCCAGTAACGGCCCGACGGGTGAAGCCCGAAGCCCCTGAGTAACAGACTGCGAACCTGAAGCATTTCTGCGTTTCGAAGGCAGCATTTCAGTAGAACCAGTTTCGTTCCCTTGATATGCGCTAAAAAGGAGTCTTAAACCCTTGATGCTCCGAGAGCTTGAGTATGGTGTACAGAACCAACTCTGCACAAAACAAGGACTGGGATGTAAGGCTGAGCCACCTGACGCGTCCCGTATCCCAGGAGCGATCTTTTCCAGAAGAACATCGCACCAGCGACAAGCGACAATGATGGCTTGAACGGTAAACGGCCCGACTCGGCCAGCCAGCTGGGATCGACATCTTTAGGAATTGTGGCTGTTCCATTGCTTGAGAGGGTCAAGCTGTGCGCTCCGCTTGCTAGCTTGGTGGAACCACAGTTAAGCACGTTAAAGTAAACTACATTTCGCACCGGAAGTACAGAGTAGACCCAGTCACCTTGGTATCGAGACAAATGCGGCTGCGCCCCGCCATTTTACTTGCTGCATGAAATACTGAGGCTGAGGTATTGTGGGAGTGGACTCCCATATATTTCCGCACTACTAAGGCAGCAAGGCTCCAAATCCCGGTTGTGTACTGCTCATCCAACGACGAGAACATCGCTTGTTCTTGTCTTCTTGAGACTCCATTTCTATACACTGTACATTCTGTCGATATCCAATAATGAAGATTTCACCACTGCCCCGGATGGCGTTGCGGTACAATGGCGTAACCAATCTTCCTGGTATATCAACTGCAAGCTCCCAAATGAACGATTACTCTACAATTATCCATGTAAAGAGATCAGGTATTGATATAGTATCTGATATAGGATAACCCGATTAGCGGGGTTCCAAGGATGTTGACATGCTGCTCACATATATCTGGTGAACTGAGTATAGTCAGACATCAGAGAGTGTTATTGATTCTCTGCCCCTTGGCTCCTGACTGGAATTCGCAGATGATATTATGGCTATTACCTGCTCATGGAACAGAGAGGAGTGGAGTGTTCATAATCTCCGCTCTATATGCATCGGCGCACCCAGGTTGTATTGTTTGTCTGTGTTGCTGGCGGCGACCTGAGAGGCTTTTCACAGGTCAGAGTCATCCAGCATTCACGCCCAAATGCACTAATTTCCTCAGCTATCCCACTGATTCTGGAAATGTTTCTTCTTCTCGTATAGCTTCATTTGTTTTTCTTGCTTCAGCCACCCGCTCCCATCCAATCCTTCTGCTGTAACCGTCATTCCACTGGTGACTGGGCTTTGTATCCAAGGCTTTTGGCACGAGGCATTCATTAGATTCCTGCAGAACCGGTCCTTGCTGCTGTTGTGTTTTCCTTCTAAGCCGTTCATTTAGTGTTGTACCGTATTTCCTTCAGTTTCAAGCCAAGAATTGCTCGCTAGCATTCACGGTAATCTCTCGGGACTGGCTCGTCACGATGAGCATGTCTGATCCCTCAAGCTCTGGAGATGAGTTCTCCGATGATGGCGTCCCTGGAGCCATCGACATCCCTTCCGATTATGAGGACGGTTCATATGCCTTGGCTGACAAAAAGGCCCTTCAGATCATGGAGGTCGAAAACCAGAAAATCGATGAATTGATGGCCAAATTCACCAAGGGCTTCGACCCCGGTGCCTTTGGAGGCGTGATTATGGCGTACATACCCAAGCTGACTGAGGGACTTTTCCCCGGATCTTATGCACACCTCCTGATTCTTCTTTTCGAGTCTTTTGACGTGATTCAGCACATTCAGCTAGGCCTTGAAGCCTCAATGGGAAACCACCACCAGGTCTCTCCCACCCACCAGCCAAGTGATACCAACATCACCGATGAAAAGTTCTTTGCCGCGGAGATTACGATGCTGAGAAAGCTATTGGATCCAATTCGTGAAGGAACCAGGAACTCAATCTTCTGGGTGGGCACGAGACGTGCGAATACCTCCAAGATCAGCGAGCAGCTCGAAGCGGCCATCAGAGTGATAGAAACATTCAAGGATGACCTCTGTGCAGCGCTAAAACCAGACCATGAGAGTAGTAAGTTAGTGCGAGCTATTCACCTTATCCTTGTGCTGACCTTATAAGAAACCATTTACAGTTCTCTTCCGGTGTCAGTCGAACGTACTGCAATGTACAGTATGAAGCAGCTTCGTCTAGACACATGCAGAGCCACCCTGCAATGGGACAACTTCAACGGCTCCGAGCTCGAGCTTACCTCATTCTTTTGCTTCTATAAAGAGCATATCATGAAGACTGAGCCCGACAAGGCGAGAGAATCCGGATGGCTGCCTCCTTATTCCCCTGGTACCCCTGGTCTGTCGGCTGAAGAAGCAAGCGAAGGTGACTTAGCAAGCTGGGCATCTCACGGGGTTCAGAACGAACTAATTGATTACTTGCTTAAAATCGCATTGTGGCTCAGCCTGGCAAGAGGACTACCAGCTGTTCATTTGTTCTGTGACGTCGCTAGACTCTTTGTCATGGACGAGCCGTCCAAGCCCACCACTAACGAGTATCGTCTATTCTTATTCCATCTCATTCGCATTCGGGCTGCCACCGGGGGTGCTCTGCTGTCACCGTCTCCTGTTGTTCCAGATAATAAGAACTTTCCCACTCGCAATATCGACTACTTCCAGGACATCTGGAGAACGAGCCACCAACTTTCTCAGGGTCTATTCGACACCACCACTTTGCTCGCTAAGCATAACGTCCCCAACTTCAAGCTTTCGAAACCCCCTGCTGGTCGCCGTTCCGGCCATGGAGATATGCAAGTAACCACCCAGGCAGCCACCCAAGCAGCCACCCAAGCCGCTGTTGGCGAACCCTTGGCCGATATCCCGTCTACGCCAGATGAAGAACGTGCCGAAGAACAGTGAGTCGCCTATACCCTATTTCCTCATTCGTCTACTATGTGATGACGAAGCTGATATTGTTGCTTTTTGTTACTGCAGATCCCCCGTTGACTGTGGCCTCGTGCTCTCCCCCCCTGAACTGTCCCCGGTGTTTCGAAACAGAACTGTTTGATCGTCGATGGACCCGCACCTCGACTGTCGATATGAATCTACGACACGGGCAATATACAGCCAATCTACATATCAGGCTTTTGATCATTCAATAACGTGGCCTTCGCTACCATTTAACGACCAAAACATACAAAAAAAGGAAAAAAAGAAAGAAAAATCAGACAAAGATAGAAAAGACTTTGGGAGGTTCCTAACGGATATTCACCACCAGATAGACACTGGACTTCAGCGTTGGTTGGTTGGTATGAGATCTCTTTTCTTTCTTTCTCTTGCGTTTACGTTAGTATTTCCCTCTCCACTCCTCTCTTTTCATCATCCGATTGCCCTTCTCGCTTCCCCAGGATACCTTCCGCAAAGCAGCAGCTAGCGCATACTGTATCTCGTTAGAAGCGTAGCAAGCGCGGATTGATCAAACAGAGCATCGGATCGAAGGCTGGATCACACTGCATTTACTCGGCTATTCGCTTTCGGGACCATATATGTCTTACCATGAAAAGGAACCATAAAAAAAGCAATAGTTTTAAAGTTTGTCCCATAGCCTAGCCTAACTACCGGAGTTTCTCTCCAAATCAGCAGTGTCCATCCACTACTCTGTCAAAGTCCTCGCTCTGTTGTTCTTAATTCCTGTGGCTTCCCTATTTTTCATGTTAACGCGTTCATGGCCTGGATCCTTCCGCCGAGACTTTAGGGTTACACCGGTGCAACAAACAGCTGATCATGCTATCCAGATTAGGACTGTTCCTGGCGACACTCTTCACTTGTTTCAGCTGCTGCCTGCTAGGGTGACGCTGGGAGGTAGCTTGCTGCACAACAACCCCCAGTCATTCTGGTACCTAGGTATCCACCGTGGTCACTCGTTCTCTGTCTCAGACAAGCTGGGGCCTGAGTCATTGAAGACATTCAATCCAATCAGGGCGTTGATACTCGACCTTACTCTGCAGCTCCGAATGACATGGATCATCTTCTTGGATCTCTTGTTGCTGATTCATTGCGGGAAATGGTGGTGGCTGGTGATAGGTGAGATTGTTTCTGCCCCTGTCCTAGTAGGCTGACCAGGAACAGACCTTCGGGCCGCGGCCGTCTTCGATAACATAACTACTGAGTGCGTTGGATTGATCAAAATATCATGGATACCCCTACTGAAAGTGAGCGTGGCTCAATGCACTTTCTAAATAGTCTTGTCAGTCGTCACCTACAAACATACTATTAAAATGCACTACAGAAAACAATGGTGATATCCATCTGAAGTTAATTCCTCTGTTGAATGTATGAAAATGATTTTTATAAACCGCTAGATACTCCGTGCTAGATATGTGAGTGAAATAATACCAAAAGATCCCGAAACATAAATAGAACGAGACGCTCGCTCTGTCGCTAACTATGAATTAATCATACCAAAATCCAGAAACGGATCAATCATCGTCATGTCATCAGGATTAATGTTGTTGGGTATCTTGGAATCAGACTCGGATATAGTCGTAGTCGCAGTCGCAGAATCATGCATCATAATATCGGAATCAAAGAACCCCTGTTGAGGAGGAAACGTTGTCAACTCTGAGCCACCATCCAGAGCAAACGGTTCTGTGCTGAGGTCAGGGAGCTGGTCGTGGGCGGCGGCAGGCTCTGCTGGAGCGTAATTATACGGGTCACACGAGGGATCCTCATTGTCAAATTCCAGACCGTAGATCCCAAAGACGTCGCCCGGAACAGGCTCGGATCCATCCCCGAGTAACGCGCGTTGGAGGAAGAGATCTCGAACGTCGTCTTCTGTGTAGTTGTGCTTACTGCCCATGTGAACCCATAGATCGTAATTGCGGTGGAAGCGATGTGGGCACGTGTCGATGAAGCAAGCAATTTGGCGACCTGTTTGGTCGGCGTAGCCCTCACCAGTGAGGGTAGCTAGAGTAGAGGAGTTGTTGTTGGTGGAGGAATCATGTCGTTTTCTCGTGAGGCCGAGTTTTTGACGCCGTTCGGCTTTGGAGTTCTGGAAGCCTAGATGGGCGGTGCGGATGTGTTCCTCTAGGGCTAGTTTGCTGCCGTAGCGCTTTCCGCAGCCATCGCTGGGGCTCCAACCGGTGACGCGCTTCGATGAGGAGAGGTCTGTTTGGCCGCAGACAAACCGCTTCTCGCCTTCGTGGACAGTGCGAATGTGCACGGTTAGGTTGCCCTTTTTCGTGAAACTGCGTTCACAGCCTGGTACTGTGCAGGCGAATACTCGGCGGTCTTCGAGGCTGACGTTGCCGTGGGCCACTTCGAGATGACGCCGGAGTTCTCGTGCCGTGGAGCAGGTCACCGAGCAGTTGGGACATTGTGGGGGGTGTGCGGTGCGAATATGAGCTTGCAGAAGAGAGTATGTGGGGAAAGTTGTAGGAGGAAACATGGATGACTGATCTCCTCCCTCGTTTGCACGCTGAGAACACTCTGCGCAATCGAATCGCTTCTCTGTGTGGACTCTGCTTTCATGTGCACGGAGATGGCCCGCCGATTCGAACGCCATAGAGCATTTCTCTCCTGTTTGTGGGTCGCTATGCGAGCATTGGAATGGCTTCTGTTTCAAATGCACGGACAGGACATGTTTCTGGAGCGTCGAGTGCTTGCGAAAAGTCTCGTCGCAGGGTGGATACTCGGTGCAACGGTACTTGTCTCGACCATCATGAGCAGCTATATGTCGTCGAAGCCGAGAACCAGTCACAAAACTCTTTCCACACCCCGGGCGATCACAAACATAATCTCGAACTCCGGTATGAGCGCTTTTAACGTGGTGGTTCAAGTGCGAGACTCGTAGGAAGGTCTTGTCGCAGCCGTCATAGGTGCAACTGAATAATCTCTCATTGTTGTGCGAGCGCAGATGTTCCTGAAGCCGGGCGGGTCGATTGAAAGCCTTGGTGCAACCTTCGAACGGGCAACGGTGCGTTTTCAGCTCCGATGGGTATCTCACGGAAGTTGAAGCTGTCGAAAAGGGCGTGGCTGGCGTCTCATGGAGACTGTCATTAGAGATGCTAGCAGCGTCATCGTGCGAGGAGTAGTCTAAATCAGAATGCACTTCCTCATAGATTGGATCTGATGGCAGGACGAGATAAATTAGCTTGAAATCTGCCTTCAATATGCTCTATACTAACGTACCGGACTCGTCAATGCCCGCTTGTCTGTGCAGTCGTTTAGGGCTGGGATAGTCCCCGGACGACGACCTCTTTCGTCCCATGCTCAATTGAGCACAACAATAAGCCGTGCTATAAGATTTGCGGCATGTAAAAAGCGACAAAGAGGAGCTATTTGATAAATCAAAAATGCAACAACGGCAGATAAATTTCTCGAGAGGTCAAAATTTTGCCAAAAAGCGGAAAAGGCGGTGAGATAGCTATACCCGAAATAGGCTAGTGGCATCAGGAACTTTTCCGCCGCCTTTTGTGAAGTTGCGATTTACTTGAATGAAATCTTTGAAAGAAAGAACACCTGCTGCCACGCCTGTTCTTCACTTCTTGCCTTCCTGTTGTGCGCCAGTTCTTCGAGCTCAATCAAACTCGACTTACCACAATGTCCGACTACGGCGAGAACGAAGCTGAAGAAACGTAAGAACACCATGTGTTTTAGCTTTTGAATAGGGACCCGGGGGCTCAAAGAAGGATTGATGACGGAACCCATTTTGTCGCCCGCTGCTGCATTGCCTGAGAATAATATGGTATGCTAACATGCTCTGTACGACAGCTATGACTACGAGCCCGGTCAGGACTATGATGATATTGAGCCCGAAGACTTCCTCAACCCTGAGGACGCCGAGGGCGGCGAGAATGGCGCGGAGGGTTACGACGACGGGTCCTATGCACCCGCTGTGAACGGCGATCGTGTTGTGGTCTCAGGTGACCCGAATGCAGGGTATTCGGGGAAAGTGGTCGAACAGGCGCGGGCGAAAAAGATTCCCAACGAGGAGCGCACGACAACTCCATACATGACCAAATATGAGAGGGCCCGTGTTCTGGGTACAAGAGCTTTGCAAATAAGGTTCGTTTGACCTATATACTCGAACAAAGGCCAGGAGAGTCTAAGAGTCGATGTCCCTGACTGACATGTTATCAGTCTCAATGCGCCAGTGCTTGTAGACCTCGAGGGAGAGACGGATCCGCTGCAGATTGCCATCAAAGAGTTGGCCCAGAAGAAGATCCCTCTTATTGTGAGGAGGTATTTGCCGGATGGAACGTAAGTGATACCCTGCTCGCATCGCTCCTTCCGTGGTTGGGTCGGTTCAGTTCATATATTGACTCATTCGATAAAGGTATGAGGATTGGACATGCGAAGAACTACTATAATATATTGATGAGCTTGTATCTGAAAATGGGCTTCGCTTCTTGTTATTGTCTTTCTGGTTGAACTTTCCCAATTTCCGCATAGCGTTTGGAGTTCAGGAGTAGGACACGGGCGACGGCCAATCGGTCGAGTCCTGCAAAGGGAAAATAAACAAAAACACTCAAATCTTGTTAGTAAATATTCAGAAGAAAAAAATTCAAAAGAGGAAAGTTTGTATTGAGATTTCGGATTGTATATCTATATCGTGTACGGAGTAAGCTCCTGGTGTATACCAGACTCATCTCGACATGGGGCCGATATCATCTGGGGGCACTAGCTGGCATAGCGCCCCAGTCATAACTATCCCATAACAGGTTGACTGAAAAGACTGGTGGTACAGCTGCTAGCGTCTGCGATATCTTGCACAGCTCGCACTTCTTTCAAGGTTGCTGCCAACCATCGGAAGCCATGATGATCTATAACTCACAAACCGCATTTTCTTCGAGACATGTGATGGGTGCGGCCATATTCACACTCGAATCAGACTTCAAATTGCGCAGATCTTGATTGATAACCAGTCAAGCATTTTGGTTCCTTGCGTGTCCGTCTGATCTATAACGCCCGTCACGTGGCGCGTCGGAGTCTCGGAGATAAAAAGTTCGGGATCGATCATCGAATGCCGACTGCTTGCTGTCCAGCGCCGACTCACACAGTCACACTACTGAAGTTCCGGCTGCGGGGATACATGAACTATCTGGGAATGTTTTCATGCCATGATTATCTTGCGAAAGAGGGCGGGGAAGCTCGTCAATGAATTATCAAATACATTGGTCAAGTACGTACTTCTCCATGGCGTATTCGTATTACTAACCACTACTTTCTCCCCCGCTGGATAAATCGGCACGGCATTTGCAGCTAGGTTTTCCACTAATCCATCATCTTTGGCTCAGATTCCTTATGCAGGTCAAAGAACACATTATTCATCTTCGGCAACGCGAGTGGGCGTCACATTGGCACTTAATGGATAAAGTTTCTTTCAGTTCTCGGCTTTGTGTCTCCTGAAAAGTGCCGACAAGCGTCAGCCAGCTAAAATGTTGACATGCTGATGGCCCAGATATGACTTGAATCATATGAAGTTTTAAACTGGAGTTCCGGGAGAGGGTTTCAACTCCGAGCGCACAGAGCGGCCCTTGGTCCATATGTCCGATGGAACAGGGCGCGGTCGAATCCGACTTGGAAGTCAAGGCGAATCAGACCTTCGAGGGACCTTCGGTTCAGCCCATGGATTCGTAGTGGATCTTTCCCCCGGCGGCAGACTCCTATACTACTCGAGCTTAGCCTGGGAGTGGGCCCCGTCTGCTAAATAATTAAGTAAATTTACAAGGATCGCCTCGAATCATGAAAGAGTCTTCTGGATCTATAAATTTCGTCGCCCCTCCACTTTGGCTCTCCTCGTTTTATCGAGTTTTGAGTGACTCCTATCACCGCTCACTGAGGTTCTCCGACGGTGATTTCAAGCGCACTCACCACAAGATACCTACCGCTGGACTCTTCACACTTTATTCGCCGTGTCGCATACTATATCTTCCAGTGTGGAAATGGGTACAGATGTTGGCGCACAAGAGAAGACAGTAAACGCTTTGGAAGGTGGTCAAGATGGCGAAACTCCTACTCCTACTCCAGCACCGGCTCGACCAGCTGAGGAGAAGCCAGAGCCGACATTTGATACTGGTTTAACAGCCTGGCTGCAAGTTGTGGGATCCTTTTTCCTCTTCTTCAACTCATGGTGCGTCTCGAGTCACGCAACATCCAACTCCAATAAAATACCCGACACTAACCGTTGTATAGGGGTGTGGTGAACACATGGGGTGTGTATCAGACATATTATGAGCAGAATATCCTATCCGATGTGCCGTCGTCAACCGTAGCGTGGATTGGTTCGCTGCAGTCCTTCCTTCTTATGCTGGTCGGTGTCATCACAGGTCCTCTTTTTGATGCTGGGTATTTCCGTGCGCTTCTCGGGTTCGGTACCATCGTGTTACCATTCGGCCTAATGATGGTTAGTATTTCGTCACAGTACTGGCATTTTATCTTGGCCCAGGGAATCTGTATCGGTTTAGCCGCCGGTTGTATGTTCGTCCCAGCAGTTGCGATCCTACCTCAATACTTCAAGGCGAAGAGAGGGCTTGCGAACGGTATTGCAGCCTCTGGAAGCAGCATCGGGGGAGTTATATACCCGATCATGTTCAACCAATTGCAGAAGAAGGTTGGCTTTCACTGGGCGACCCGCGCAATAGGCTTTCTCGCCTTTGGGACGTGCCTCATCTCATTCTCTATCATGCGCATGCGTTTCTACCCAACGGAGAAGCGTAAGCTGCTCCAGCTCGGCGCCTTCAAAGAACCCCTTTTCGTGCTCTTCTCCATCGGCATGTTCATGGGATTCCTAGGCTTCTACAACTTCCTCTTCTACGTCCAATCCTATGCCATCGATACCGGTATAGTGGACGGCAATCTAGGTTTCTACCTTCTTTCGATGCTCAACGCAGGATCCACCTTTGGGCGAATCATGCCTAACTTCATTGCAGACCACACAGGCCCACTAAACATGCTCACCCCCGCCGCTTGCATCACTGCCATTCTCTCGTTTGTCTGGATTGGCGTCCACACCGTCCCTGGGATTATCGTCTTGTCCGTCCTGTACGGAATCTTCTCCGGCGGTTTCGTCTCACTGCCACCCGTGGTGATGGCTTCGTTAACCAAGGACATGCGAGAGCTCGGAACCCGCATGGGCATGGTTTTTGCGATTACATCCATCGCATTATTGATCGGGACTCCGATTGGAGGTGCAATTTTGAACCATTCAAATAGCTATTTGGGCGTCCAACTATTTACGGGATGCGCCTTGAGTGTGGCCGTTGCTATATTTGCAGGAGTCAGGTTTTCTCGCACAGGTCTGAAGCTTGTCGTTCGAGCATGAGGTGAATCCGGTCGCGGCCATGGGATTATATCTCGTTGGAGTGTTTCCGCTTGCATGCAACATTAATTTTCCAACATTTATTCGGCAATTCCATAAGCCCATTTTTTCGACATGGCGTATTGTATCACGAAACGTGGTCTTATTTTAAAAGAGCAACGCAGATCTAGGGTTGGTGTTAAAAGTGCATTATAGAGCGAGCCATATATAGGCATTATAGATTAAAAAGGCATCGGACATAGCACCTATTAATTAGCAAATATCCTATACATTTTGCCATGTCTCTTCAAATAAACGTTTAAAACAGTACATTTGGATATCAACTGCCAGATAAAACAACTGGTAAACAGGGAAGACGCAAATCCCAAACACCAGAATGCTAAATCACTTCGAACCGAAGCTAAGAAACATGCTCCGGACTAACAGGGAAATTTTCCCCATTCTCTCGAATATGCTCCAATTTCTTATCCCGGCTACAAGGCTTCCGCATATCGTACGCATCCTCTCCCGATTCTGACATCCCCGTCGGATCATCGCTGTAGTAATTGACGACACGCCGGAATACGGAGTACCTAGTCGCAAAAGAAATGATATCAGTATAACATACCCCAGATGAAATGAAATGCCAGAAACATACCCCATTCCCTTATACATATCCACTGCAACTTTATTCCCTGCGCGCACGTATAGATCCACAAACCAAGCATTGTTGATATCCGATCCCTGTTCTAGGCGTTCCGTGAGACGGCGCGCATGGCCAAGACGTCGCCATGCAGGTGCAACTGTCAAAACAGTGATATGGCCGTGCCACGGCGTGTAATGTTCTGAATGTTTCATGGAGGGGTGTTGTTCTTCGAGCTTGCCCATTACTGCAAAGTGGGTTTGGTGTTAGCAGTTGCTTGAAGAAGACCTAGTCCCGGTTTTGAAATGGTAAAGGTTCACACACTGTATCCGGCGATTCCCTCCCTGCGATCCTGCACGCTACTGAAGAGGGACGGCCATCGCATCAAATAGTTCAGGTAGAAGCCCAGGTCGTAGTTTTCGGTTAGGGGATCGAGATTCGTCAGGTTAAGAGAGAAGAGGTCCGTTGGGGACATCCGGCGAATTGACGACATGATTCCGGGTTGTCGAGACAGCAATTGAGTCGTGGTGGTTGCTCGATAACGTTTGATAAAGTTGAAGCGGGGGAAAAGTGTCGAAATGAGGGACTTACTCGATTGGGGTTTCGGCGGTCACGGGAAATCCACGCCCGCTGATCAAATCAACTTCTCCCATAACTCTTTTACGCACTCTCTGGATCTGAAGCTGTTGGCAGACTGCTGTATGCTGGTAAGTGTTGTTAATTTACTGTGCACTTTGTGTGTTTGACCCCTGACTTTGTCTGTGCGTTTCAGAGATTCCGTGGCTGCCCCCCGTTTGCACGCTCCAGCGAACCCCTGTCATCGTCTGTTTACGACCTTTGAGACTCGATTGAAAATCCCCCCAAACAGTTACCGGACAAGCAATACGGACAAATACAGGCCAAGCGCTTAGAAATAATTCTTTGACAACGCCAGATAAAGAGCTTAGTTCTGGGTCGTCGGGAGGGCTTATAACCTACCTCACCACCTCCAGCATGCCGTCCAACCCACCTTCACCCTTAAGGTTATCTCACCGCCACAGTCGCAGTCGGTCATCAAACATGGACACAGATCCTATGTCGCCTGATGGTTATGCGCCAAATGGTTACTCTTCAAACTCTCCCAGGTCGCCGCTCAGCCCACGCTTATCCGGCCCACCTTCCCCTGTTACCCCCCGTCAACAATACGCGCAAAGCGTCAACGGATCCGCCAGAATGTCCGGAGACTTTGGAGCAACCACGGAAGCAAGTGGTGGCCTGGGAAACCTTGCGGATGAGCTGGCCGATGCTTGGGAAGAGGAAGAGAGTGGCTATGGATACGCCTCCGGGCAAGAGGCTGCACCATCTGATTCACAACCGTTGGAACCCATAAGAACGAGAACACCTTCGCCCAGCTATTCTTCTGGTCGTGATTCATTGCAACCTCCCAGGCCAAAAGTACGAAACGGGAACAATCGACACCGTAGATACGAATCGCAATATGATGGCTCAGACTATGGAAACGACTCGGATCTCGAGGAAGTGGCGGATATGTCGCCTGCGCTGGAGAGCCAGATTGCGGAGATTGAAAGCCTTGCTCGACGGGGGCTAGAAAATAATGGAAGTGAAAATGACCATGTCATTGACCGTGCGGTTACAGCGCTTCAAGATCTGGGAGCACAGAGTGGGATTGAAAATAATGCTATGAGGTATGCCCTGGTTTTTCTTTATGGCATGCATGTGTCCCACTTTGAAGAATTCCTGCTGATAATCTATCTAGGCTCATTACCGCACACTCTTCGATCACATCGTACCTTACTCACCAAACTCGTACCGTCCAGAACCTCACTCACCCTCTTCTTTTCGCTCCATTCCCGCTCCTCTCTGAAGAGACCATCGAAGCTCTTATCCCTCTAATCGATGAGGGTCTCCTACCCAACCTCCCGTACCCTTTCCCAGAACAACAACATCACAACTCGCCATCAAATACCCCACAGTCCTCCACCGCCAATCCACTCACTTCCCTCCAGACCCTAATCTCACAAACCTCCGACATAACGCTCTCCCTCCGCGGCCTGAGCGATACGCTCTATGAATCCCGCCAGCTCACATCAACTGCCTCTCGGCGGCTCCGTTCTGCCCGGGAACTCGTCGCAGACCTTCGCCGCGAGGAAGAAGGTCGTGAGGAAGGGACCCGGTGGATCGAAAAAGGTGACTGGGATCGCCGATTGAAGGAGCGCGAAGCTGGCCGCGAATGCGGAGATGTTGTCAGTGGCTTCGAGGCAGTCTGCGGAGAGTGGAGGGAGAAGCTCTTCGGTGCTGCAGCCAGCACAGAGGCTGTTGCGGCTTAGGCGGAAGTTTCTCTCATTACATTTTCCCTATAGAGTTCCCTATCTGACGAGATCACACAAGTACCCCAAAGATTTCTTTTTTTATTTGTCCATCAATTCAACACGAAGAATATCCCCCAATTTGCATCCAATCGAACCATATTTTGCTCATTTATGGCTGGCTTTCTTTTTCTCCTTTTCTACCTGTATATAGATTTCTTTTGCATCTGGTTGACCTTACGAGTCTATCTGCCTATCTATCTATCTCCCTATGCATGACGTGGCTGTCATGTCGTTCTTTGACCCACGGTCTATCTATTTCCTTACATATCTCTAGATTGTCTTTCCTTACACGTTTCTTTTCCAAGTATCATATGCTCGCTGGCCGGGCTAACCGGAGACTCCCATGCTACACACTCATGTCTCTTTCCTTTCGGTCAAGGAGCGAGGGCTTGTATTTCTCATGTCCCTAAAAAGCCTTTTCGGTCCATTTTCGTAGATGTCACTTGGCTCTGTGTTGGTTATGGGCGGTGCGTATAGCCGAGAAGCAATCCTCAAGGTGCGTTTTAACTGGGTTATTGACGAATCAAATGATATTTATATGGAAACACGACTCAAAACTACATGACACTGTTCTGGAAAATACGTAGATAGGGAGCGACATGTAACATACAACATGTACAGATAAATAGATTGAACTTCGTTAAGTGAAACAGGACTCGCAAGTCATGGCATTATTCATCCAACTATACCTACCTGACAGACATGAAAGAGATGATGAAAGATGAGAAAAGAGAAACAGAAACGTCCTTTATGAGAAGAAAGACATAATGCATTTCAACAAAAACCATCATTGCCCGAAGAGAGACTCTAGCTAGATCTGTACAGTCTGCTTGGCTCACAAGTAGACACGCAAAAAGAAGAGAGAGGAGGTCGGAGAGACACAGTTAAACTGTACGGAGCGGGAGCAATGCTGGTTGAGTGAGGTATGGAGAGGATACAGGTACGGGAGAGAGTTATAAGGAAAAAGGATATTTTTCACACGCCCATTTGTTTTTCAGACACAGATTTTGTTTCCAGAAACAGCTGGTTGATACTTTACTGGTTCTGCTGCTGCTTCCACCTGGGAACCCACTTTCCACCACTGCCAGCGGGCTTGGGTTCTTCGGCCTTATCGGACGAAGACTTTGAGGGTTCTGTGCGAGAGGGAGGTTGGGAGGAACGCTGGGGAGGAACGTAACGACCGGACGAGGGAGGGGGCGCGTCGGAGCCACCACGAAGGTGAGGCGGCACGTAGCCGGATCGTCTGGGGGCCTCGGGCTCCTTGGGTGCCTCATCGGGGACACCAGAAGCCTCCTTGGCAGCTTGACGCTCTCTCCAGCTAGGACCGCCACCAGTGCGAGGAGCAAGATTAAGACGAGGCGCGGTACGTTCGGTGGGTTCTGCGCGGGTAGGAGGCTCTGGAGCGCCAGACTTCTTCGCCAAAAGGCGAGCCTCTGCTTCCTCCTCACGCTGTCTTTGCCGGGCGGCAATTTCATCCATTTTCCTATGATTTGAGTCAGCAATATATACTTGAAATAGGTTCTTTGGGGTGTGGGGTACGCACGCTCTCTCTTCTTCACGCTTGGCCTTTTCTTCAGCCAAGACACGGCGGCGCTCGGCCTCCCTGGCGGCTGTCTCCTCCTCCTCGCGTCTAGCACGCTCTTCTTCCTCCTTCTGGGCGCGTTCGGCGTTCTCGCGCTCGATCTTCTCGCGGCGCCTGCGCTCCTGGACATCCTTGACACGCTGCTTCTTCTTAGCCTCGAACTCTCTCTCAGCTGCCTTGCGGCGCTTCTCAAACTCTTCGTGGCGCTTCTCTGAGACTTCCTTGCGGAAGTTGCTGAACTGGGGTACCAGGCGGCTGAGGCGGTGCTTCAGAGCGACGGCTTCCTTGTGTCTAGCCTCGGACTCAGCCAGAGTCTCAGCCTTCTGGTGCTCATAGGACTCCATGTCGCGCTTCTTCTGGGCCTCATAGTCTTCAGAGACATGCTTCAACTCCTCACGGCGGAAGGCACGCTCCAGATGGTCGATACGCTTGCCAGTGGTGCGAACGCGGTCGTTAAGTTCGTTCTTCTCCTTCTCGAGCTGTGCAAGCTTCATGGCACGAAGACGGTTAGCATCGAGATCTTCAAGATCGATTTCGCTAATGTCGATGCCCTTAACGCCGGTCTTCAGCTCTTCGAGCTGCTTCTTGAGTTCTTGCTGGCGGATACGGTCTTGCTCATCCTTGATACGCTTCAGCTCACGCTCGCGCTGTTCCTCAGCAAGACGCTGCTTCTCAGCTTCCTGGAGCTGCTGTGTGCGGAGGCGCTTGCGGGTTTCCTCTTCTCTTTGCTTGCGCTGCAGGGCATCGGTGGCGGCCTCCTTCTTCTTTTCAATGACAACACGGCGCTCCAGAGTGTCTTCATGCTCCTTGGCAGCACCAGCCGCAGCACGTGCAAGAGCAGTCTGCTTGGCCTGGAGACGAGACTCGTTGTAAGTGGGGTCAACATACACACATGAGATGTGTAGGGTCTTGGCCAAACGGGTGAGCTGCAGACGAGCAATTTCGGCAGGGGTGTTTTGCAGACGCTGCACGGAGCCGAGTTCACTTTCCGCAGATCCGGCCGCGCTTCCAGAGTGCAAAGCCTTGGCCGAGGAGAAAACGTCAGTATCGAAGGTAAGAACACCAGAGATGTGGTCCACGCGGATAGCAAGGTCACCCTTCTTGCAGCCGTTCATGATGAACTTCTCGATCATGGATGGAGTGATCTGGAAAGGATCAGGGAACTGAGCCAATTCGTAGACGAACTTGAGCGAAACGGACTCATAGACCTGAGACAGCTGCTGGAAGAGGCGAGTGAGAATGACCTGCTGCAAAGGTCCAACGTATTTCTCCATCTCGGGATCCGCACCAATCTGCTTAAGGATGGGGGTAACCTTCTTGCAGATAGACAGGGGGTGGAAGTCAACTTCAAGAATGTTGTAGAGGTCACGGATCTCAGGGCGAGCACGCTTGAGCATGCCCTTGTTCAAGGCATCCCTGAAGAGAACACCACGGGTGGGACCCTGTGCCATGCCAAGTAAGTTGGTGAGGCGAGTGTTCTTGTTCTTGCGGACCTCGTCCACATCAATTAGCGCACCTCGAGAGCGAGATGTGCTGATAACTGGGATGGAGAGGGCAGAAAGAAGAACGAATGAAGCGGCCTTGGTCATGTCGCCCTCCGAAACTGAAGGGTGGTCCTTCTTGGAGCCCTGGTTGGCGGAGAGGGTGACCGCAGATTGACGGAGGAGGTTGTAGTAACGGCTCCAAGCAGCAGCGTGGAAAAGGTAGTTCTCGCTAACAAGGAAGATCCGAGCAAGCTTCTCGTAGTAGTTGGCCATCATAACGTTCTTTGCGGGACGCTTGCTGAGGCTGAGAAGGGTGTGGATATCCTCGATGCTGCGGAAAGCCTCCTGCCAGAGTTCCAAGTCAACGGCGACGTTCAACTGCTGGAAACGGGTGTCCAGGTGGCGTTGCAGGGTATCGGGGTCGCTGAGGTTGATGGCGTGCATCTGGGCAGAATACTTGGCGGCATTCTGAACATGGTTGCGAAGAAGCTCGCAGAGTCTGCGGAACTCTGTCTTGCGCGTATACTTAAAGCAGAACTGGAAAGCTTGCAGAGCGGTGGTCTGGTACATAACTTCCAAGCGAGCGTTGTTCTTCAGGATCTCCAGAACAGTTCGGTACGTCTCCCACAAAAACTTGAGCCATGGGGTAACAACAGCTCGGTCAGTGCGGTCACGGGATTGTTCGCCAGAAACGGTAGCAAGAAGGATAGTCTCGGGGGTTTCGATGGCTTCCAAATCTTCGACATTGGAAGAGGGTGCCGCTGACTCGAGGGAGGACTGAATCTCATCGGCCTTGGTTTGGGCTTCCGTCACCTTCTTCTCCGCAAGCTCGATGAACTTCTTAAGAACAACCTGCACCACAAATACCATTAGAATCCCGCACATCCACATCCGCTAAAATAATTCGTGGCTATCTACGTACCTCGATAGTTCCCACGTTTGTGTTCTGGGCGATGTTCTTGTACTGATACAGGCCATCCTTGGCAGCTTTGCCTTTCCGGAGGTCGACACAAAGTTCAACGAAAAGAAGCATAACCGGTTCGAGAGAAGCAATCGGGCTGCTCCGCGTCCGCTTGGAGGTAACATGTTCGTGGAGGACGGTCAGGGCGGCCGGAGCCTGGCCCACAGCGATAAGTTCCTGAGCCCTCTATAGGCAAAATCCGCGTTAGAACCGATATGGACAATAAAAACCCTTGCTTCATCCCAAAATCCACAAAGGCAACCTACTTTCAGGACATTCTCAGGCTTGATATGCGGTGGAGGCGGCATGGTGGGCGATGTAATAAGCGATGGCTAGGTATTATCTCGATAGGGCACGGACGGCACACAAGCCTTGTTTATGGGTGAACCTCGACGAGGGATAGGCGCAAATCGAGTCGAAGATGCGCAGCGGAGGGCGGGCAGCGAGAGTCGACAGCCGAAAATCCCTATTTGAATGATGCTGCCACGCGACGGTCGGCGAGGACAGGTGGGAGGGGAGGCGTCGGTGGTTGTGCGAGAGCCAGAAAAAAACCAACCCACGCAAAGTTGCTTCCCTTCCCTGTTTGGGTTAAGCGATCACATCACGTGAGGGAGACTATAAAGACTCGCAACGCTCAGACACTCTTATCATGTATTTATGATCCTGAGGCTCCAAAGTTTTCTTGATACGGCCGTAGAAATAATTTATTAAGGGGTCTATCTGTGCTTCGTTGGTGATCAGGCCAGATTCCAATCCGTGCATCAGAACTTTCAAGGGGCTGTAAGTATACAACCGACTATCCCGAGACCCGGCCAACCAACTCTTTCTGCTCTCAATTCCACTACGGAACACAGTATTTATGTATCACCTAAGCGATCTATCAGCTGTATATAAATGCATCCCGCATCGCCGGATGACAGATTGTGATGTCTCGAGTGGACTCTTGCCTCAAATGCCACAGAGGTGCTCTTCAAGATCACGTGAGATGACTGAAACGCCGGTCACGGTATGGTAAAACTCGTAAGTTTGGCTCGGGGAATCACTCACTCCACACAGCCATAGCTTCTCCAGCAGTGTTTTGGCAAGTCGAGAGGTCATGGTTCAACGGGTAAGTCTCCGTGGGTGAGGCCATCATATTATAGTAAGCAATAGAGATACTTAGCATACTGATGAAGTGCCGATCGTCGACCGTTGAACATCCCCTTCCTTCGGTCGGTTGGATAGAAGATTCAGGGGGACTCAAAGTTAAGCCGGTGGAGGCTAGCACACTCTATTAAATTACGTGAAACGCGAATACAATGTTACACACAGTGAAGAGGGAGACAGTGTGCCCCTCTGCGGCCCGTGTGGTAAAATAGCCCCCGTCGTCCGGTAATAATACGGGTGCTCTCTCATAATCATCACCATCACCCTCCACTGTCCACCCTGGTTCATCCCGTTCAGTCCGAGTGCCAGTCTTGGGTCGTCTCTCTCGCTCTTTCTGTCGCTCTCTTCGTCTTCGTCCAAATCGACCTTCCATTTCTTCTTTTCGCTTTCTAGTCGCTTTCTTTATCTTTCTTCTCTTCACCTCTGAATAATCCCAATTCAACCTCCGTTCGCTCCCTGACACTAATCCTCTCACTCTCCTTTCCCCCCAGCCTCGCGTCCGACCTCCGTCTCGACAACCCCCCTACGCCTTTCACCCCGGCAGCGCAAAACCAATTGGCGAACCGTGACGACCTCAGCTCTTCAGTCGCCTTTCGCCCCTGACCCGTGCTGTCGCATACCGGGATTTTAAGACGAGTTCATTTCGCGCCCTCACGACGGCCATCTAGCACAAAAAATGCCTACCTACGAGCTTCGATCTGGAGGGGACGTGAAGAACAAGAAGCAGAGTGTGGCCGATCTGAAGTACCGACGGCTGACAGAGCTCAATGCCCGTCTAAAGGAGGACCTCGATCGCCCCCGAGTTAAGGTGTCAGAAGCTGCCATGTCGTAAGTTCCAACAGCTCGCTCACCACTGGTCGTCGTCGCAGTCGCTCATCGCATTACTTTTTGCTAGGCTTATCAACTACTGCAACAACACTCGTGACTTTATGGTACCATCGGTATGGGGACAAGTATGTTACTGGCACTCACAGCGAGCAATTATCCCCTTTTTTATTTTCTTGCTAACCCTTGCCTCAGGTTGACAAGCGTGAAGACCCGTACGCTCCTCAACAGCAGGGAGGTTGCTGTACGATCATGTAATGGCCTCATGACTCAAACTACGGTCCTAAGCAGACCTATCGCGCGTTGATGGACATTGATATCCCCCGCCGCTACGAACTTAAACCTTTCTATTTCTCTAATTCCTTGTCTTCGATCTCGCACACTACGAATGCAGGTCGCCTACTCACGCCTTGTATCACACGAAACTATGGCAATCGAATTGACATTTTCATGGCCCTAGAGCCAACCGGAGCGCGCGCGCTGGACTTGCACGCCCTTCGGAAATGTTGACGAGCCGAGACTATGTCGCCTTGCCTAACCAACTGGATTACTATCGATGATTATTGTCTCGCAAGATAGCCTTGATCGTGTTATTCTCTTTTTTCCTTCTTCGCTTCTTTGGTCAAAGCCTTTTTTTTTTCTTTCCTTTTTTTTTAACCACTATTACCCAGTTTATCTGTGTTTCCTTTTCCTTTTCGCTATTTCCTTTGTCGAGGTGTGAATGGGGGTTCTACGGATTCCAAAACGAAACGTATAGCAAGCCTGCAGGATGGTGTCGTTTCAGCGTCTTGATCTCGATTTTGTTGCAACCCGATTTTTGTAAATTAGATTCACCGGGTCTTGAATAGCTGCTACTACCTATCTACTGAAACTAAGAATCATCTAATGCAGGAGCGCAACCGTAATACACCGTGTACACAGACACGACGTAAGTACCGTACACTATTTCGATCAATAAGCGCAGGTATGTAGTACGGCTCACCTTAAGGAACCTAAAGCATGTCCGTCGAGATACCCCTCAGCCTCAAACCTCCGCGCTTTGAGGCTCAAACACCACCCACCCAGCTACATCTGGGCCATTTTTTGCATCACTTGACACAGAAACCGCAACCTTGTCCTTCTTGTAGATGGTTGGCCACTATCAACAGTTCCCGCTCTACTTCCAAGCGCCGACCTATTACTGCTCTATATATCTGCATACACCGTCTCACGGCATTGTCGACATGTTTCTAAGCAATATTATAAACGTGGATCATGACCGCATGCTCGAGCGGATAAGAAAGTAATATCCTTTCTACTGCATTCTCACTATACCATCTGCTCTCCCAGTCCGGATAGCACAGCGCTTTCGTATATTCCCAAAATTCTGGGAAGAAGCCCGCCATTTCCCAATCAATAATACCAGTAACCTTGCCTTCCTTAACTAACAGGTTCCTCGGCGTCAAATCCGCATGTGTCATAACAATCTGATGGCGCGGGAGTGCGCGCAAAAACCCGGCTGTCTGGCGAACCCACGGGCCCCCCAGTGCATTTTCCATCGCGCGAACAACACCCTCGAGGAACTCATTCTCATTGGCATAAGGCCCGAACATTCCCAGTTCGCTCGTGAATATTGGATCTTCGCATGCTGTTCTGTCGATAGATCCGATAAAGTCTCCTTTGATACCGCGTAACTCCTCCATGTGTCCACGGAGCTGGGATATGACTCCCTCCTGCTCATCGTCGGCCATATCGTCCCATACGTCCCGGAGCACGTCGCCCTCAATGTATTCCATGACAATTACCCCGCGATCAATCGATTCGTCAATATAGGCATCATACACTTCCGGGACGGGGATGGAAGTCTTCGCGCGGATGAATCGCAGTGTTTCTGCCTCTGCTAGGCGCGGGGGCTCGATTAGTTTAACGACTGTTTTCGGGTCGACTTTGTAAACGTGGATCATTTCGTGCGCCCCAAAGCGATCCTCCTCTTTCAGCACCCATTGTTTAGTTTTGAAATTTATGGCTGTTTTGGCGAACATTGCTTGCTCCTGTTGTTGATGAGTGGAGCCTGGCAGCTGAGGGCCCGTCCCGCACTTTGCATTCGGAGGTGATGACATGCTGAGTGGTGGCGGGGCTGATTTCCCGCCTAACTATACAGATTCTTTACCTCCAACAACGCCAATCACTCTCACCAACTTCATTTTTCCCTAATATCTTGAACCAAGTGTATTCCTCGTTACCTATTCGTCATAGAATATGACCGGACCAACCGCCCCCATCGAAACAAAACCGCCAGCATCCACCCAGCCTGCAGCACCTGAATCTCACGCTCACTCTTACTCCCACCCCCGAATCACAGTCCAGTACTGCACGCAATGCAAATGGATGCTTCGGGCTGCCTATGTACGTCGCCCCATTCCATTCCATTCCCCGCGCCCGGACTCTTGGTGTCCTTGCAAAGCCATTCCAATCCAACCTTATTCCTGAAGGACATTGATTACATCCCCGCGTGACTTGTGCTTTTTCGCCCCTGCATTACAAAGTTACCTACCTACACCTAACAAACCACCACGTACAATACGTTACTGCAAGTGCAAAGTACCAGTTAGTAGTTAACCCAGGCTAACATAACACCTATACAAAAGTTCGCCCAAGAACTCCTCTCTACATTTAACACAGACATCGGCGAGATCGCGCTGGTTCCGCGCACGGGGGGTGTTTTTACTGTTACTATTTTCCCTACTACTACTACCGCAGAAGATGGTGATGGGACAATCCTCTGGGATCGGAAGAGGGATGGGGGATTCCCTGGTATGGTTCAATCTTTTTTCTTTCCCCTGGAAAGAAGGGTGGGTAATGCTAATATTCAATTCATGGATAGAGGTGAAGGAGTTGAAATCACGCGTGCGGAATGTAATTGACCCGACGAGGAATCTGGGGCATACGGACCGGGCGTTGAAGAAAGGTGTGGAAGCTGCTGAGGCTGCGACTGCATCTACATCTACGTCTACATCTGCGCCCGGACCAGGGCCCGGGCCTGCAGCATCTGGAAAGGATGCGGAGTGTGAAGACTGCAAGTAGAGTGCATTCACAAGATAGGTAGCATAGCTAGGTACAGGTACAGGTACATATACTGTATGCAGATACATCCATAATATCCATAGCATAAGCGATGGAAAGACAGGAGAGAACTTCCAGTATCATCATTTGCATCGTGTGATATCAAATAAAAAGGATAAAAAAAAGAAAAAGATGATAAGATTGACATGATAGATGTGATCAATCGACATCCAACGTTTTGAAGAACAAGAAGATAAAGCACACATCCCGGAGACTTAATCTGATATCTGAGATCAGAGCCACTGGATGTATTCAGCCTAACTAAGTAGGTGAATTGTGACCAGATAATAATATGATATTACCGAACGCCAAACCACGCGCCTCGACTCTAAATGGACCCCTATCCCAAAACCGAACCTCCGTGAAGTTAAAAAATGGTGAAGAAAACGAGGTAGAAGAAGTGAACTGAACTGAAGATGAAGACCGCCCATCCAACCACGTTGCCCGATCTGCGCCGGTATCCATCGCACATTTTGCATGCGAATAAAGGTGTACAGGATAGGGAGCCACTGCATAATCAAAGAATATGTCAAGAGGGGCCGCATATTGCCGAGGGTCTTCTGCCCCATACAAGCATGCGCTTTTGCCCAAAATCGTATAAGCAAAAAATATCCATAGCCTCAACGGCTCGAGCTCATATAATGGCTTGTTTTGTCTATCAACGATATCGTGAAATCATACAGTCCGTCGTATATGCAAGTCGATTGTGAATCACCGTCCAAGGGTGCCAACGTGTCCGAGTCAATAAGGAGAAAGATCGGTAAAAGAATAAGCTGTTTAAGGTGCGCGAATATAGAATATGATGGATGTCTGTACTGTTATCGCGACTCGCCAGTCACTTCTTGATGATTCGAGTGATGATTCTTGCGTTTCCAGAACGCTAACCGGAGACGGCTCTTGCGCTTGGGCAATTTTCGCTGCTGCTGTTCTTGGCCAGCTAGCTCGTCCCATTGCGGACTTTGCCCTGTGCTGCTTCCTGTGTTGACGGACTGTGTAGAGCTGCCGGTTGTGTTCCCCATCGACGCTTGGTTCTTGTCTGAATCATCGTGGAAAAGCTGGGCACTGCCAGAGTGGAGCGTGTTTTCTGACTCCCGGTCTTCTGTTCCATGCTTCGGCGAGCTAGCACGAGGGCTGCGGTTGTCCCAGTCTGCATAGTCGCTTCTCGGGATGTTATCACGCGAGTAGGTCCTTTCATCGCTATCCGCAGAAATGACACTCGTGGCGTTCGTGGAGGGAGAAATAGGTGTCATGGCGTTACTGTGCGTGCTGATGCTCTGTGTTCGAGTGCAGCTATTCCGCTGAGAATTCGAAGGCGCCGATGTACACCCAGAGGAGACGGTGTTGGCATGATGGCGATAATATGTACCAGTCCTTGATCCATTCGCTTTTTCTCCAGCGCTTTCTACCGAGCTATCATAGGTAACAGCACTGCCCGGTTCTTGTTGGCCAATGTCGCTGCTTGTTTGCGTTTTCGTAGGCATGGGCTCAGCAACAGAAGATGGACGTATATTGGGCACAGCACATGACGATTTCCGGGACGGCTCGTCGTCAATGGGGAATGAATCTCCCGTAATCTCCATCGTCGACGGCCCCGGCGTATCTGGAGAAACAACCGGGCTGATCTGGTTCTCATTGTAGTCACTGCCTACCGATGTACGCGCCGATCTTGCAGGACCGAAATAGTCTTCCTCTTCCTGTCGCTGCTGATATGGCTCCTTTGCTGGAAACGTTTTGGCGGAGTTATTGCGGGCATCCGTATCTGCTTTTGCCGGCACGGCTACCGATGTCGGAGGTGTCGCTTGCGCTTCTGTTGCTTGCCCTTCTCGAGCGGGGCTATGTGACCGAGGAGAAACGTGTCCATCAGGACCGGCATCCACCATCAATAGCGGTTTCTTCTTCTCTAAATCTGCAAGGTAGTGCCACCGGGTGTGGTTGTTCCGGATGTGGTTAACGGTAAACCGCAGTCCACCAAGGATGTCCGAGACGCCTTCAAAGAGCGGAAGCGCGAAAATTGACATGAAACCCATTTGACCTGTCGCAAGCTTGTACACGTTGCCGAGCTCAGGCGGACCGCCGAAAAGGGCCGTCTCCATCCCAACCTCCTTTTCCATCTCACCCTGGTTGGCAAACTCTTCTTGCAGAATCTTGGTCCACCTCTCGGCAACTTCCCAGGGCCGCGCCACGTTACTGATATCAGCACACTTGATCAGCAATCCACAGACAAGTGTTTTGTACATGTCGATATCCTGAGGCTTCCAGCCATCCACTGTCCGGTTGTTTTCCGAGTATTTCTCTTGCAGAGATCCCAGCCGCTCCATGAATTTCTGATGCACGCCCATATCTGTGGCTAAAATGGAGCTGATGAGCAGCTTCCGCAGCTGCTTGTCTTTGAATGCAGCGGGCCAGTAGCGGCGGAGTATTTGTGAGAATGCGGCACAGTGAAACGCTTCCAACACCGAATTGTCGTTGTATAGTTGGGCTAAAGGCGCGTTCAACTTGACGAGGAAGAAGTTATTGACGCCAGGGTGACCGACATCGTGCCCGATTGCCGATATCAATAATGTAAGCGAATCAAACGGCTTGATCATCGACGCAATTGGACAGTCAGTATCGGCCTGGGCACCAATCGAGCCATAGCTAGGTAGCGCGCCGATGTTAAGCAAGAAGCAGAAAACGGACTGTAAGACATCGATTGCATGCCGGAAATTGTGGTAAAGGACAAATGAGTTGTAGGATGCGCGACAAGCCAGTAAAAATGTTCGTAGTTCGCCGGGCGTTAGCTTCCACTCTTCCAGTTCGGGTATCGTAAACGCATGTTGAAGCATCGCATACGCCGCGAAAACAAGCTCGTCATCGGAAAACTCATGGGCAGTAAAGCCCCATTGACCCAACCGTTGTTTTACATATTCCTCACGCTCCTCGGTGACATTAAATTCCCTATCGCGAGTTATTAGCACGCGTACTGGGAAGGCCGTGTGTTCCCATAACTTACCCGTCATGAAGTTCCTCGACAACATCCTCCGGGTTGCAGATGCCTTTCATCAGCTTGGATACCCTTTAGTGAGTTAGCATTGCCTATTAGTAACCGAATACGAAACACAAACTTACATCGCTTCTCTGAGGTAAGAATATGGTTGTTCATCATGTACGCCCACCCACGAGTGTTTCCTCAACTTCCTCCGCGAGAGGAAGCGAGAGTGTTCTCTAAGAGCCGTTTTCCTAGTCCGAAAGGCATGTATGACCAAGCTTTGGATTCTGACCTTATCGATCGGCCCCGACAAAACATCCACGGCACCTGCATCTAGACATCTCGAGATATGCTGAGGGTGGGGAATATGCGTCGATTGTTGTTGTTGCAGTCCGATTGATGCAGAGGTAGGCTCTGTAGGTGGTGGGCGTAGGATGGCGACGGGAATGACGAGGTTTGGGCCGTCATGGGACTGAATATCGTTTGAAAGCCCCGAGAGTAGTTTTAGGTCGGATGTACCGCCGTCGTTTTGCGCCGAGAATGTGAACCCGCGGGCAAGCGGTGCAGGAGATGGGGGTTCTTGCCAAGATCCACGACTCGTGCTGCGGTGCGTTAAAAACGGGGCATCCTCGGAGTGAAGGTCGATGTCGAAGAACGCGAATACCGGCGTACAATTATTCGCAGCATCATCGCTTATTTCTGCGAGTTTCGAAACGAGCGACGCGCCAGCTTGACAAAGGTACACTGTTTTCGAGAATCAGTCAGCAGCGAATCAAACTCGGGGGCGAAAATACGAGGCATACTTCGTCGACAGACATCCAGGAGAACTTCGATATCCGACCGAAGCGACTCAGGTTCATCGGATGATATCAGCGACCCGGCAGGGGCGCCTTGATGCACCCATCGCTCTGACTGGATACGAGGATCGATATAGATTGCAGAGCAGTCGATGTGATCCATCATGTCAATCGGATCTGGGACACCCATGGCTCGGTGCCTCGAAATCCGACGCCAATCCACTCGACAACAGTATCTATACGAAAGACAAAGAGGAAACGCTCGCTACCCGGTTTAGACTCGCCCTCATAGGTCGAGACTCCCAGGTAGTGCGGGTTTGTTGTGGCGAAGGCAATCCGAGACAGAACGAGCGGCGGGCGATAGTATCCGTAAGAATAGGCGATATCGATAATCTGGGAAGTGAAGGTGGAATAGGAGAGAGCGGTTCAAAAGGAAGGACAGTCGAAGAACGTAAAGCGACTAATTTTATCTGTTCAGGATTGTTGTATTGCGTCAGTGATTCGTCTTCCTAGGGTTTTTTTGGCTTCGAAAGTAGGTATTCAGGCGGCGCAAGTAAGAAGCAGGGGCAGGCTGCAGTGGACGAGCTGCAGCGTTAAAAAAACATTGGCGACGAGCTGCAGTCAATAAAAAGCGCAGTAACCGCACAATGTGTTTGTTCGCTGCAGTCGTCCACCAGAATTAGAACTGAGGGGGGGGGGGGAGCGCAAGCGCAAAAGTCCCTGACTGGGACGGAGCAGCAGAGCAGTTCTTTGTACCGCCCGTCGAGGGTCCGGACGGGAACGCAGGCGCGAGGCACGGCTGGCAGGGTAGAGTAATTTCCCACTCACACTGAAGATCTGAGGGTCGAGTCGAGTGATGACAGGTCGAGGAGAGAATAAGCGGCGAAGGAAATACAGGAGTAAGAACCAATTGCTAGCGTTACTGCTGTGAGAATCTCCCACGGGGCGAAATGCGCCCGATCAGTCTGCCACCCAGGGAACCTCGAGTCGCAAGACAACCAACACCCAACGCGGGAAGAGGCAAGCACGACAGAAATACAGCGTCTAACGACAAAAGCGTATCCTAGGGCGTCATGGCGGGCCAGCGACTGGGCCAGGCGGAGATAAAAGAAGAAGAAAAAAAAGGCCACGAGATCAAAGGGTGAGTGAAAAGAGAGAGTGAGGAGGGAAGAGGGTGGAGAGAGTGAAGATCGATCGGGAGAAAAGTCCACGAAGTCGCACGGGTGGATGACAGGATGATCGGGGTGGGAGGACGTGGAGATGGGACTGAGTAAGAGACTTGGACAGAACAGGTATTATAATTAGAAGCAAGGAGTACTCCAGAAAGGGAGGGAGGAGAGGCAGAAGGAGTGAGGAAGAGGAGAAAAGACGGGAAGGAGAGCGAAGGGGGGACGACGATGCTAAGAGCAACTAATGGGAGAGTTACAAGGGTCTGGATAGAGCAGCAGCAGCAAGAGGGCAAGTTGTGACCACGCAGAAGCAGGATCAGAGAAGATCAGATGGAGATGATAATCAAGTCCGCGACACTTTTCCAGAAACCAGAGCGGCTTCTGCTGCGCTTCATCAGCTTCTGCCAGCCTTCCAGAAGGTCGCCCGGTCTTACTGTGACGGCATGAGACGCGATTACAATCTCACGATGCCGCATTTGGTGCGCATTCCGTACAGATTCGGTAACCCAGCTGTACGAGGCGGTACGGCAGGAATCCACCAGCGCGGGCTGAAATAGTTAGCGTTCTTAAATTACTTCTTCTAGGCGGATTCTGGAAGCCTCCGTGTCTGCGCCCGGCAGGATTCGGTGATGTAACGGCTCACATCTTAGTTATACAGAGGGCTTCTGCATTAAATTACGACTATCGAGCATCCTTCCTGGCAGTATAAGCCGCCCTACAGAGTATAGTCAAGACAGTAATGACAGAAGTGGCAAGCGATGATGTTATTGTGAGCAGATCATTTTAACCTTACTCCCACAGTTCAGAAAAAAAAAAAAAAAAAAAAAAAAACGAAGGCTAGACGAAGAACTAAGATGTGATTTGGCTCATGTTAGGTCAGCATCAACGTTCGTGGTATTGCAAACAAGCCCCATCGTCAAACGAGGCTGGCCAAATGTCGACAGACAGCCACTGGGCGCTCTTCTCCCATTACACGAATCAGAATATGAAAATTGGTAGAAAAAAAAAAAAAAAAAAAAAAAAAGTTGTGGCGACCTCGGCCTCGACTCGGACGGACCTCGCCACTTTTTCCTCATTCGTCATCAGTCCAGCTCTCCTCTTGTTACAAGCACTACTGCACGCGAGTCGCAAGAACACCCGACCTCAGTTCCACTCCCATGTCTAACTGTTCCAGAGAGAGCCTAGACACGCAGAATAATCGGGTTTTCCGAGCACAGACCCCAGCGTAAGAAGAACCAATTCTCAAACAATTAGCCCAGCCAGCCCAGGACCGTCTTGGCGATCCCTCGGTCGTCGCTTGGTTTTTGCGCCAGCCTGTGTGACTGAGGACTGTCACAGCTTTCTCCAATAATCCCACTGCCACTGCGCACTGCCGTTCTGCGGGCGCGGACTGACAGATGCCGGCAGTGAGTGCTTGGCTTCGAGACAAGGTTTCAAATCGTGGAGTACTCATCAAAATGTTTATTTTTCTAGCTACGATTGTATAGGTTGCTTACGTGCTGAGAACCATCGTATAAGAAACCTCCGCCGCTGCTGGCCGGAGTGGCTATCACCAATAACATTTGTTTTAACTCCAATGTCAAATGCATCTCCCGTGTCTTGAAATCAAGGCCGATAAAATAGAAATGGCAGGAAGAAAAAAGTAAAATAAAAAAAAAGACGTAGATCGCATCGAAAACCCAACTCATGCCCGGATAATAATTCTAATTTCATGCTGAACAATATCCCAAGTCCCGCTTTTTCCCCATGCCAGACAAAGAAAGAAATTGGAAACTAGAGAAAGAAAAACAAATAGGGGGGAAATACAGTAACGGAAAAGATATCATACACGTCCTTTGATGTTATCCTGAAGGATCGATAGTGCGAGGAGCCGCTTCTCGGCCCTATGATAGGAGGTTCTTCAATGACGGGCTAGCACTCGCTCCAGAGCCGCCACTTGTCCCATTCGTGGTGGTGTGCCGCCCACTATTCACTGCCATTGGGCCTCCAGCGACCGTATTATCCTCAGGCTTGTTTGGTGGTGTTCGTCCCCGGGGGTCCATGTGTGCTTGGGAAACAGGGGGTGACCGCGACGGCGCGTTAATAACACGTTCAACTGAATACAGCCGGGACGGCGGACCACCGTTCAAAGCGCTCAATGAATGCTGCGGGGAGTGTCGCACCATCGTGGCCGGTATATCTGGTGGTGACGCGGACGGCGCAGAGTGCGCATATTGCAAAGCCCCCTGCACTACTGGTGGGTGCGGCGAGGATAGACCAACCGGTCCATACGGACTCTGATGGGCTGGGTATGGCTGAGGAGCAGGGGGGTGTGCCGCGCTAGTATAATGGGGCGCAGGAGGATGGGGCGCAGGAGGCGCAGGAGGCGCAGGGGGCTGATACCCGTTCAGATGGCGCATTGGCGGTGGTGGAGGAGGACCACTCCGATATGCAACGTTTGGTAAGCCGTTGCGCAGCTTGTTATCCCCATACTCCCCCGCGCGTTCGTATCCGGGGTACCGTTCGGGGCTACCGCTAACGGCCGGACCAACAGGTCGGGGAAGGGCCCCTTGACTTGGGTGGCTATGAGATGAACCATACGAATGGTTATGGTATTCCACTAGTCGGGGTGTGGGCAGAACTGGCCGTTGAGCTGAGTAAGGTGACGGTCGTGGTTCCGGAGAGGGTGGTTGCGGTTGGGATTTCATCTTCTTGAGATGGCACTTGTGACACTCATAGAGCACTTGTGAGCCATCCAGGTTTGCTTGTCCCATTTTCGTGTCTGGAGAACCGTAGCCCCCATTGATCGCCGGTAGAGATGCCTGGGAGAGTGGATAGTGATATGGTGGGCTCGCTGAGGGCGCGATTCCGTTCAACGGAGGTGTCGTGTGACTGAGAGCGGGAGTCTGGCGAATGTTGTCAAGCGCCCACCATTTGGGACTGTAGACCGTTAAACAAGTAGCGCATTTCCGGACTACATCCCCGCCACCAATTGGTTGCGAAAGACGGGGCTCAGAATCGATCTGCATCTCATCGGGGTTTACTTCGGGCACGGTTGGCTTTTCTTTCGTCATCACAGGTAGAGTCGCGGTACCATTAACGTTAGAAGCTCGTCGGTTTGTGGAAGAAGTTGTGTTCTGGTGCGCGACGCCATTCGCCTGCTGAAGATAGGCTGCCCTTCGAACCGTTCCAGTTATGCTCAGATCAGCCTGTTTATACGTACGAGCAAACATCTGAAGTGCATTGAGGCCATTTTCGGCTGGCTCACTGCACTCATGAACGGTCGATGAAACTGTGTGTTGAGGACACCAAATCGCTGCAGTCGCTGCCCCAACTTCGTCCCCAAGCCGAACGCTCGATGTACTGTCCTTCCTGGAGCTTTTGATCGGCGCAACGTCGAACCCGGTCTTGTACCCGGCTTGAAACGCACAGCCAACGTGAAAGTGGGCGTTACAACCGCTAAAGTGACACGGGACACATGCGCCCTTGTTAGACTTGCAGATCTTGCAAGTCTCACGGAATCGATCGGCGGAAATCAGCCCGAAGCCTTCAGCAGCTTCTAGTTCTTCTGCACTGCTGAACTTGATTTCAGGCGTCCAAACTGCGCAGGTAACGTGGATCCAGTTATTACCGGCAGTCCGCTTAAGAGGTTCCCGGGGGCCGACTGGCTTGCCAACGGCTTCCTGCCTCTCACGGTAAAGCTTAATTGCGTCTGTAACCAAACCGCGCTCAAGTTTTTCTTTCTCGCGATCTCTGTCGGTCTTCTTCTTGTGAGTTGACCTTGGCGCTTCCATCAACTCGTGCTCAGTCCAGGTCACCGGGCACAGAACGCATTCGTAAGAGGTGGATATGAGCGGATTTCGGTCGTTCGAGCAAGTATCGCACAGCCATTTGACTGTGTTCTGCAAGGGGCTGATTCCGTAGCAGTTTCGGTGAACTGTTAGACGGCAATCCCTGCAGGACACGTACTGATCCCCAGTAGGTTCGATCTTGGCGCAGATCGCGCAAGGAAGTG